ATTATCTGTGTTCGCAGCCTAAGGCTTAATCTTATAGGCCACCGCCATCGATAGTCAAGAAGCAGAATACATAAGTAAGAGATGCTGATTGTCACGGAATCGACGGATACCGCTGAAACAGTAGGCCAACAGATGACGGCCAAATGTTGCCGAAGGCCTTTGACTCTAAATAGGCAATTACTCTGAGTTGGCTGGTGGAAGTAATGTTATTTGCCGGACTGCATCTAAGGCTTGTGCCGCGTTGCCGGTCAAAGCGCTGAGTCGAAAGATTTATCGCATAAGCCGGCACTTTTCTTGCCGAAATAAACTCAAAATCACGACCGGGTGCAGCCAGGGCTTAGAAGAGCCTAAAGACCCGTCCCATACTAGGGAAATTCGCCTGTCTCGTTAAGCTTACAGCGCGCTTAGCTGTATACTCCATCTTCTGCGACTAAGCGCGTGTTTCTGTGTTTCAAGTAGTGGCGACTTGCTATGGGTTGATTTTCAGGATACAGAAGGTCGGATTGTGAGAAAGGTTCGATGCGCTGTTTTTACTTACTAGAGCCAACAGTCATCACATGTGCCTCGCGAGTTGTTCCGTTCCATCCGTGCCCCCGCATGAAAACCCTTGTCCAATCCATTTATATACAACCAACAACCAACACCTAGAGCCAACAACCAACACGATCAACTTTCTCAATCCTTCGAAAAACCAAAATTGCTGGGAAGCAACAAGAACGAAAGAACTATCCGTAACCAGCAATAACCGATAGCAGAGTTCTCCCAATTATAAAAAGACCATCTTATCCCCCGGATACACATATTCTCTGCACCCTTCCAACCAATACTATGGGAGATCTTCAGTTCTTACTCCTCATCTTCATTTTAGACGCGGCCGCAGTTATCATACGCATATCATCAGGACAATGGTCAACCTCAGCAAAACTTGGGTTGCTTGCCTCGCATTTGGCCTTGTTGAGCCGAGTCTTGGACTCCATGGCAAACAAGGTCAGCGCGTAGGCTACAATCCTCTTGTCAAGCAATGGAACGGCCCAGACTCCAACCTCACAGCAACTTTGGATCTCGTTGATCCCGGCCACGTCTCTGTGTTTGAGAAGCGTCGCCACATCGATGTCACGGCATGGGCTACAGTGGCTTTGGCTGCTGGTACTACCATCCTGGCTGCTGAGGCAGGCATGAATATCTACAAGCAGGTTGCCGACATTATCAAGAGCAAGTCGAACCACAATTCTTGCTCCATGACTACTGGCACCGACTCGAACGGACATATCATCGAGGGCTACGCATACCTGGCGACTACGAGCGGACACGATTGCAAGACCACTGCCGAAACGAAGACTATCCTTGCTGCGGTCAAGGACTGTGCTGATTGGCAGCATAAGCATGGAGCTATCATGGGCTGTTGTGTGCTGTCTCACGGTGGAACTTGGAAGGGTCATCTGCGTCTCACCTCTCAGCCTAACAAGTACCCAGCCCATGCGGTAAACTGTGATTAAGAAGCTGGTTGGGTTAGTAAAGCTGGCGGGGGCATAGTATACCTCATATGTTCTGACCGGTATTGGTGGAGACTTTCTTGGGGAGGACATGTATGCTGGATCATTCGTTTGCTGGTCTCTATGGTAGTGAATTGACTTCGGTACTTTCCTTTCTATAGCCAAATAAAACATGTTGTTTCGGAAACCAGGTTCTTAAGGCATGGAAGTGTCTTTCTGTGACGACAATCATTGACCCTCAATCCTTGGTCGGATCGGCAGACCCGCGAAGGTTCGATGTTCAAACTTATTATACCCGCTACAGGGCAGCGAAGAAACAAGCTAGAGTGGAGATGCTCTCGCCAAGGAGAAACTGCAATCCTCCACGACGACGACTGCATCGCCCTTAAGTGCGCATTATCTATATCAGTGCCTGTCCCAGTGGAATGTCCGGAATCCGTTAATTGGTCCATCACGCATCTTCTGTTGACTTAGGCCTTTGGGAACACATGACCTGACAGAGCTTCAATGGCTACGACATAATGAGCGACGATCGGATGATGAACAGACCTGAATTGTATGGTCGCAGCGCTGTGGTCAAATCATTCATTGGCCCCAGTCACTATAGCCTTTATGTGTTAAATCCCCCGGATAGAAAAGACCCTGGGTCTCTTGTCGATATACATGCCGAAAGGAGAGGTGGCGGGCAAGCTGAGGGACTTTCCCGGGCTACCCCAGACCATATCAACGGCGCGCTTGTTGCATATGCGACCCCCAACGCTTGGCTCATAAGAAGGCAAGGCACTAGATGTAATTATCTACCGTCATGGCTATATAATCGAGATCACACTTCAGGCAGCATAGAACCAATTCAAACAAGAGGTACTTTTAGTGGAAAAATTGGAAAAAGGATAGACAATAAGTAGAGCATGGAAGTTTCAATCAACTTGCTTGATATGGAGTCTTCTGAAGATAGCTATATACCGTGTATGATTTCCAACCAGCGAAACTAGTTAACATAAAAGGGGAAGAAATCCCAAAGGCTCTGGTCCTCTATATCTAGACAAAGCCATCACCTCGATTCGAGAGCTCATTTGTCTGTAATAACTAGTGTCGGGAACGTCTACGCTCCATATGCCGTGCTGCAGAGTGCCGTTGCCGTCGTGCAAGTCCTGGCTGCTGTGGTTCTCAATGTTGATTTGTGTAGAACGGGCAGGCATTTTGGGCGTATTGATAGAGGGGATTTGAAGTAATAGGAGTGATGTTTATAAGAGTAAGTTGTTGAATGGATGAAGGGAGGGACATACTGTCCCTATATATAGTTAAATTTGATATAGATTATCCGGTCTTCTGCAATAATCAACGCTCCAAATCTACTCCTCCGAGCTACAAAATGGTAAAGAATTCACACATAAACCTTAACGAGGTCTCGATGCCTTTGATTTGTATCACAAGGCATCTAACCTATCGCGTAACTAACCTATCGCGTAACTAACCTATCGCGTAACTAGACACGTATTTACGAGTTCTGGATTCTTCTATTCTGAGGTGCGTGGAATGAGCACAGCTAGTCGTTTACTGGCAAATAGTAAAAGAGATGGCTAGTGATTTGAATTGCCAGTTTCATATTAGAGAGCAAGCCACAAATACGATACGTGGCTGTTGGACTAACCTTGAGGGCCGAACAACCGGATCTGTTATCTTTCATAACCTCGAGCACAGATTATCTCTCTGTTTCAAAAGTCACTCATTTTCCATCATTGATATGTATGCAAGACCTTTGTTTCTTGATGATGGTATATCGATTTATCTATTGATCTTGATCCGCGAACATGACTTACCAGACCGAGACAAAGTCTCCGAGCCCTCCCCGCTGACGGTCAATCTTGGCAGCCCTTTTAGCATTATGTATATAGTAGTGTAAACAAACTACCTACTCCGTAGAGAATGCCAATTTTCCCACACATCTAGAACATGGCGGGGCGGGTGGCTTTGAGCGATTGCTTACTATCTCTTAAGAGTTACAGCGAGAAAGGGAAATACGCGTAATTCCAAAAGATGGAATGTAGAGGCTGAACTATAGTCTTTTAGCACAGTCACTGAGTTCCCATGTTTGCTTCAAACTTCGATGTTGCAAGGAATGGCGCGGACCATGTCCCACGTGCTCATTCTAGTTATTATTCTTTCCTAAGACATTATATACAATAAACCAGCATAATTGTGCCTAAATGTAGACTATAAGCTGCAATAGGTAGTGTTTAGCCTTCAATGTTTAATTGTGTATTCTCTCTTATATATTGCCTGTGATTGAGAGTAAGACTAGTGTCCCCTTGAAGCCTTAAAAAGCGAAGCCATACCAGTAGCGGTACTATTGGCCTCGTTGGACTCATTGCGGTCGGGAACAGCCGCTTCCTTTCCGTCTTCGGTCCCTCCTGCGGGCCGCTGGGTATCCGATCCCTGGCCATAAGATTTGACAACACCAGGCGCGTACACCATTTGATCATTGACTTTAGTAATGCTGATTTCGCCAAAGGATGGATTGCCTGGCGTGTCGTTCTTAGTGCTCCTCTTTATAGAGACGGTATTGGGGGACTCGGCTGGCATGGCGATTTGTCGATCTTGAGGGCGGGGAGGATTGACGGGTAGGATCAGAGAATAGTAATGTGATGCGAGGATGCGGGATATACAGAGGGGGGGCTGGTAGGTCTAAAACGTGATAGAGCCTGGTTGCCAAAGTATAATTTATAGAGCGCTTAATACAGGGAAACAATGGAGCTAGCTGGATGGCTTTACCCGACGCAATGGATCTAGGAGGCCTTCCCCGCACCTGGCATTCCAGACACTCAAGCCACAATACGAACTTCTTCAGCCAATTAGATCTTAACGACAAACATGAAGAAGAACTTTACAGATAACCGGCTAGAGTCATGTTTATCTGCCATGTCGGGGGTGTCACTTCTTCCGCTATCTAGTAATTCAGATTGCTCTAGGCCCAAGTTCTCTATAATGATTTAAGCTTTCGACTGTAAGTCTGAATTGTAAATAACAAGTCTATAAAGCATTCTAGACATTACACTATAATGACTAACTATTTGGTTGCTTTAGGCCTAGGTATGCCGTATCCCTAGCTCAGTAGACAAGTTCAGATTAATTTATAGAGCTTCTTTAGCAGCTTTATCTGCGGTTGCATTATCTGGCACACTGACGCATTGTTAAATTTATCCGAAATATATCTCTGCATTTTGGCTTTAGAGTTTATTGACAGTTTAGAAGACCTTGGTAAGCATGTACTGTCCTAGAGGGCAATTAGGAATCTATATAGCTTACAGCACTGCCTGGTTACTAGTAAATATAGTATATGTATTTAGTCTGAACTCGGGTTTCTGAGCTCGGCTGCGTGTGGTGTAAAATGCCTGACGTTTAAAGATGCTGCCTTTGTTTTAAGTCGATACTAAGTACTTGGAGAAACGGTGCCACAGCGGCAGCACTGATATGTTTATCGGTTCCGGTGCCGACAGTAGAGATGCAGGTTATTGTCGGACCGATTACATCATGTTTATCGATGGGACTTTCAGCGAAACCGTTTCTGTAGACAATTGGTGAGATTCATCACGGTAGCACTGCATATACTTGGCGCCCTGCCTGTGCGTCAAACTTTTGTTCTAGGGTACCTATATGACGGCTGCTTAGTGGCTCTTATGCTTTGTCAGGGACATGCCTGTGTGTCCTTGTTCTTGGTTGTAATCACTATATTATTATATAATGACTAGTTATGATCTGCCATGCATGTTCAAGTGCAGTCTGCTCGACACGCACGCACAAAAGGGTAAGAAAATGGCCGGCTTCACTTTTCAGTAGTAACAACCGCATTTCACACTCCAATGCTATTACAATGTCTCGAGTCGTATATAAAGAGAAAGAAAAATGCCTAGGTTCAAGGTTTCTCTAATACTGTGTTGACTATTGACTGTTGGTCATCGGGGAGGTTGACTGTAGCGGCAGCCAATTGAGCTCAATTTGTCTGCTAGCTGCTGAAATGGAAAGCATTCTGTCCCTTTGCCTCTGCAATAGATCTCGTTGAGACTTCCGATACTGCATTTCGTGTCAAGAGGGTTGAGGGCGACGATGGTTACGAAGGTAGAGTCAGACAGGCAAGGCGGTGATGAACGGCATCGCGATTACGCTGCTGGGCCGGAACCGCTGGGCATGGTCTCTTTTCAGCCCTTGTGAGGTGAAAAGAGACAGAATCGTGACTGTGAGGGAGGGAAAGTCTACTTCTTTGAGAGGCTTCGCCTCAAAGGCTACACTACGTTTAGAGCCATGAAGATCAAGGAGTGCTGTGTATATACTTATAGCCGTTAGTGGCCATGTCCGTTGATGTCACAATAATTAAGAAAGCAAGATGTACACTTACTGACCTCTATGTTCTGCAGATCAAGGCCAATGGCTAATATCTGTTATGCTTTAACTCTATCTCTGTAAGAACTTATATAAACATGTGGCAGCTTTAAAGTACGCAGTTGCAGAATAGCAATGTGTAAGATGTTGGCTCTTAATATTCTCCAAGACTGACTTGTTTAAGGGCGGCCGTCTCTCGACATAATTGTATCTAATCCCTGTTCTGGGGATCCACTGTGAGTGGATACCAATCTAGCCAAAATGTAACATTCAGGCAAGTTCCAGTCACACGGTCATCAGCGATAAGCGCTTAGATAAGAAGAACCCTGTCCTTTACCAGACTAACGGGATATTCCCTTTAAACATTGTGAAATTTGCCGTGTTTGCGGGGGTACTAATGCACACCTGAGTTCTTTTCTGCAATGGCTATGAGCTAAGAAAGTAGAGGCGTCAACAAGTGCCGAACTAATGTTTATTTCTGCCAGGTTTTGCGTTTAAAAGCGCTTTGACCAACCACGCTCTCTGGCGATCCTCTTCGCGATTAATAAGTAGCTTGACCTCCTTTATGTTTCTGTGTTTTAGAACTACACCATTGTTATGCCCACGACACCATATCTCAGAATAACCAAAGCCATTGAAGCCTCATTCTGCTACACACATGGACTGCCAACAGAGGCCATCCTTCAAGGGAGCAAAATATCCGACCAAACATCGCCGGCACTACCCTCGGTCCAGAACCGGTTGTCTTATCTGTCGCATAAAGCACAAAAAGTGTGATGAGACAAAGCCTTCCTGCCGATATTGTATTCGAAGTGCTCGAACTTGTATCTGGCCTGACGAAGATGAACCCAACAAGGCCCAATTGCAAAATAGCTCTGATAATAGCTCAGATACGAATTCTAACTCTGATACTGGATCCGCAATGACGAAGCCCGGTCTGTTCATGGTATGTTGCCCACACCAACGTATCACGTCAACTCTATACTAACCGATCACTCCGCTATAGCCAGCCTCGCAAGCGCAGATACTAAAAAGATTTTTCTTTGACTGGTCGACTCACGCGAATATCCCATCTGGACAGACTTTGTCCTGGTATAGCAGCCTTGCTGAGATATACTCAAACTCCAGCGTAGACAGCCTGCTACACAAGTCAGTCAATACCTTGGCCAACGCCAGCTACGGACAGAGATTCAACTCGTATCAAGCACTCAAAGATGCAACAAAGCTATATGGAGAGTCGATACGTATGCTGAGAGATAGAATGCATGGTGTTATCGATTCTTCTCACTACTACGAAGTTATGAACTCTATTATGCTACTTAGCATATATGAGGTAAGCGGCACTATATCACTAGCTGTCTGTGACTATTGAAAGGTCATTTGCTGATTTACGATAGGGTTTGGTAGATGAGTCCATTGCGCTCGAAGGCTCTTGGGTGTCACATATCAGCGGAGGCTGTACCTTGTTAGATCTGCGGGGGCAAGGCAAAATCATCAACTCTCCTGCAGAGTATGAGATATCTATACTTATTTTCATGCAAATGGTACGTTCGCTCTATCACTCTTTACTTTATATAAAAAAAATAAAAAGAAGAAGCTTATGTTACTGTAGATTCATATTGGCCTTGCGACTGGCCAAGGCCTTTCGATATCATGGGAATCCGTCAAGGAGCTATGTTTGCCACGACTGCCCTTCTTCTACACGCATACGCAACTCATTTATCAGTCTGCGTGTCTTTGCATGGAATGGAGAACCGCTTTGTTGGCCTACAAAGAGGATCAAGACATCACACAACTATCTTCCATTACGTCTCAGGCATTGACTTTGGATAAGCAGCTTGAGGAGTGGGCCAAGACTCTGCCTCCTTCTGCGAACTATGCGATTGGATCTGTATTGATCGATACCCAACTGGAGTGGTTACGACCTTTACTCAATGCACCGTGGAGGCCTGTCAATTTGCATATGTACACATCGCTTTCGAGCCAGATCCTTTGGAGATTCTATTGGATGGTTCGAACTATCCTCAACCAGGCCCTTCTGTTCACCAACGGCATATTTGAACAACGCAAAGTACCGATAGATCCGATTCTCAGCCGGGCCGAAACAGAATCTAAGCTCATTTCTTTTACGGATAGCTTATGTGAATCTTGCCTCTCGACCTTCGTAAATATCGTCAAGCAAGATCCGCAATATTACAGAGCTGAGGCTATTCCAAGTGTGTTAGGTTACGTCAGTCTACAGGTTTTGCCGACTCTTAGCTTATGTCTCGAGCAAGTCGATATCACTGGGATCGATCTGTCGAGCAGAAGAGAATGGGTAGCTAGGATGAGGCATTTTCTTCGGCTTCATCTTGGCATTGCAAAAGGTGCAACAGCCATACCGCCATCTCTGAACAATAACATCCCAGTCCAGATTTGGGGCTTTTCATAGAAGTTTTAAGAGACATCAATACCATATAATATCCCGACGAAGTCAGAAAATCCAGGGAGAGGTCCTTTCAATGTGATCCTGGGAAGCAGTTCGTATTGGCCTTATTTAAGTGTTAATTTATAAGTGCTATTGACTAAGCTTATCAATCTGACCACTTGTCAAAGCATATACCATGCACCCCGAATGAATGAGAGTAGCGATGCCCAAGGCGAACGTTACAACTGATAAATATCCAAGATCAGGCTCAACTCTTCTGCTTATATTGGGGGCCAAAACACCATGCTCGCACCCTTCATCAACCAATCACAGCTGACAAAATCACATCCTCATTATGCACCTCGATCCAATATTGCTTGGCAACTACGTCAGATAAAAGCTGCAGCAGGAAAGATAAGAACAACGTTTCCTAACGCACCCTCTTCATTGTTTGAGCGCTGCTTCCGTATTCTCTTATTCTTGTCACATCGCCAACTACAAATCAGGACGATGTCTCGCGAGCGCGACTACGAACTGGAGACATTAAGGAATGTTGACACGGGCAATGGTTCCTCAGCACCACTGGTACTAGCCTTTTATAAACGGCCTTGGAAGTTCGCTAACTGAGAGCAGGTTGATGAACAGAGTATTTCAAGCCTACCCAAGTCATCATGGCAAGGAACGCGACCGGTTGATGAACCCGACATCCATAAATCTCCGCTAAACGGGAACACTTTCGAGGATAAAGGGAAACCTAGCCCTCTCCTTACTTTTCCTGGTTCATTAAAATCGAAACGGTCAACGAGCAAAAGCAGCAGACACTTGGCTTTTCGCTATTTTGCACTCGTGCATCTACCGCCAGTCGCAATCACAATTACCCTTCTGTCGCTTTACATCACTCAAGTTCGCTGGGTGAACCCCTCCACTGAAGCGTTGAACGGCCTACAGTTTGCAGCCAAGGGTCACGAGACGCTCATCCTAGTGTCCTTGGGAGATATCCTCCTGCACCAGATATCCTACGGCTTGAAACGCCAGGAAGTCGGTGTGCCGCTTGGCTTTTTGTCATCTGCGTTGAACCTTGCAGCGCCTCTGCGATACCTCATCAGCCGTCAGCTATGGGCTCCAACGTTGCAGTCTGGCAGGACAGCTCAGTATCGACGGGCTTCAGCAGCTCTGATCATGTTGATATCCATTCTGTGCCTTGGAGCAAGTCCACTGTCCGCCATTGCCATGATCCCTCGCCAGGGTTGGTGGAAGGACCACCATTTCGACCCAAGTTATAGATACCTCTTCGAATACGAGCCCACCCAGTGGATCCCTCATATGGAATACAGAACAACACTTGATGCAGAGTCTGGACCCTACCTGAGAGACATTATAGATCCCTCTGCTGTACCTTTACATACTCTCCTCAAGGCTGATTACCGTGCGGTTGGCACAGTTGGACCAGAAAATCAAAACATTTCGTATTCCAACTTTAACCAATCCGAATTCTCGTACATTGCAACGGCGGATTATGGGTTGCCGACAATTGCTACTAGCCAATTATCCTTCATAGCATTTGGACTGGGAAACGCTTCTCCAAGAGGCATCAATGGAATAACTACTAGGATGTCATGGATTACCTCTTCCAAACGACAAGTTAATGGAACAGGAACTCAAAAGTCTTGGAAACAGCCTGTTGTAGCTGTACAATGCCTCGGAGATACAGTCTACAATGGGAGCCTCTACTTTCACTTTTCTGGTTGGCAATCGGAGGTTATGTCGACCCCCTTCCGAGTGTCCCTTAATCTCAATGACTCTTCGGCTCTTGCGGATTTGCATAGTAGCAATTCTACCGACTATCGCTTCATCGACCTTCCAGCAAGTGAAGAATGGCTGGTGAGCGGCAACATACTGTTTGCCAGTACTGCTCGAATTGAGGAAGAAGATGAGCCTGAGCGACACTATACACTCTGCCTAATATTTGCTCGTTGGGCAGAAGCCGATACATGGATCGAGCTCCCCCATTACTCGCGACCCTGGAGTCACTTCAACCCACCAGTAAGATTCGATAGCAATTCCAGCGATGTTATCCATATGGATGGGAAGTGGTTGGAAGATATCTCATCGTTCTCTAATGGGTCATTCTTTCGCTCCATTGCAGACTATTGTGTAGCGGACGACAGACGGGATTGCCAAGAGCGGTTTCTAGGTCTACATATCACAGACGCGATCTCTCAAGCGGGAAACAACGTCTCATGGCCCAACTACTTTGCAGGAATTACACCGTCAGACGGCGCAACAGAAGACAAGGTAACTTACACTCGATCTTATTACACGTACGCGTATCGCTTTGAAAGCAGCCACAGTATCCCTTTGGCATTTACTTTTCTTCTTCTGCATCTTTTGTTGGTATTGATACACTTGATTACAATTCTTGGATCGAATGATCCTTGGCAAGGCTCTGACTGGGACAATTTTGGAGACATGTTGGTTCTTGCTCTTGCATCCAAGCCACCAGACGGCGCAAATGATCCAACTCGACAAACTTCGAGGTCTGAATTATGGAAAAAGACTGTTACAGTTGATCGCGACGGGGAAGAGTTTCAATATAGGATTCGTCTGAGAGACGAGAAAGGGTATTAGAGAACAAATGAGGAAGAAGGAGGTGTTTGAGTGGAATGGACCGACTACTACTGTTTAATAGCTACGGATGAAATGGGAAGGTGAATGTAATGAGTAACATTACAACGACGACAGAAAACACCCCTAGATTTGTATCATTTCCCCGGCAGCTCAAGCTAAACAGTAACCATTTCTATAATGATGACAGCATCAGACCAGAAAACAGGCATGAAGTCCGTCGTCAACATCGGGCTATATAATGCTAAGACTTTATCGGGGCCTTTCGATATGTATAGTACCACGTCTTGTTGGTAGCTCAATCTGAGTTGCAATATTCACGATTCGCGTTTTCGTTAATGCCGAGGTGAGAACAGTCGACCAACAACCAACATGCGGAGTCACTGCTCCGTAAAATATTAATTATTTTCATCGTGGATAGTGGAGCAATAGCATCGGTCGACAGATATTAGCTTTCCAGTAGCTGGGCTATTCTGCACATTGTTGCCTGGTCACAGAGACCTGCTTTTCACGAACCTAACTGTGGTGCCGATTGCTACTTTGCAGCCTCAGCAGCAGCTGATGGTCTTCTCTGAGCATACACATCATGCGATGGGGTACAATTGCGCATTGCCTATTGTACCCCAAGCTCCGTTTCATTGGCGTGGATTACAATGTAGTAGTCTTTACCCAGCAGATGGCATGCCACGGCATAAACAGCTCTGTACCGATTGGCTCACATGATCGCAGTACTGTTTTTTAAGACATGGCACATCCATGTGAAATAATTCTCGCACAACCACAAGCGTTTGTACTTCATTTCCTAAAAACACTTCATCAGCGTGCATAGATCCCCATGGCCAATCCGAGCACCTTAGTTGGGCTACCTACTGAGATTACCATCCAAGTCGTAACCGAGTTAGTCAAGGATCCATGGTTGCAACTTGAGAGGTTTGTCTCCAGGTTATCGCATTACAAGAAACCAGTTGAGCTAACACTACCGAGAAGAGGCACGCGGTCCCAGCTCAAGAACCTAAGGTTGACACATCCGCGATTTTCGAACCTGGACTGCATCAACGCTTTATTGTTTCACTCTGTCGAGTTTGAGGCATCACGTGCAGGATTGATCAATCTTCAAGAATGCGACATGTCACGTATTGCGAATGAAGATATGTATACACTGTAACAGCCTTTGATTTGTCTTTTTGATTTAAGCTTTCAGTCACAAGTCTCAACTACAAATTACATCTTATCATATCTGGCTTACAACCTGGACATTTTCTATGTGTCTGACTAACTTCTTCCTATAGATAAACACAAAGCAATTCATTCTTCTTCCCCATCGCTGTCTATCTCTTCCTCTTCCTCACTCTCATCATCCACCTCCATGTCCTCATCCTCACTCTCCTCGTCACTACCTTCATCTTCACTAACACCATCACGTAACTCTTCCCTCAAAGCAATGTTGTGACTAAACTCTATGTCGCCATATAGATGGGCTTCCAGTGGATAGCAAGGCTTTCCAGTGCCAGGAGCCTCTCTTGGCGTTGCGATGCTGCTATCTTTGCATACTACCTTATCGTAAGAGAATCCAAAGTCAAACTTAAAGTGGATGCCCTTTGGATCTGGACCGGATACATTCGGATGGTCGCGGATTGCGTCAAACACATGACGCCACTCCAGTGACTCCTCAGCAGGACCGCCAACATGATCACCCGCTATACGTACTGAGCGCAGATCCTTCATTCTGAGGAGCCAACCGTGAAGAAGACGGGGATTGCTTCGCGTGCTTAGAGCCAGCTCTTGGAGTGCTGGCAAGTCGTGCGTTGCAGCGCGTGTCGGCCAATCTGCGCCACCAAGAAACGGGAAGTAGTGGCAGAATTCGAAGATTTCTACCGTAGAATGGCACTTTTCTATCAAGTCGTGAGCCATATCCCCAATTCTCTGCCGGTTATGTTTCTGTCGACTGTGCAGAAAACTCGCCATAGCGGTTTCTCTCATCAAATGAAACGGCACTTCTGGACAGAGAGCCGCAATCTCGAGTTTCTTCAGGTTGCTCAAATCGAGCTGTTGCCATCCTGGGATCGTTTTACACTCCACGTTTCCCAACATGTGTAGCCTCATCGAGAGGCTTGGAACCGCGATGCCTGATGCTGAAAGACATGTCATGACTGTGTTGAACAGTCTCTCGGCTACTATAGCACAGGCATACTGACGGACATACTGGGCATTGATTCTCCCATTTCTATAGCTTGGTAGTCTCCGTGTCATGTCGTCATGCGGTTTGGTCCATGCATCTGGAACTTCCAAACTGAGGTTCCTCCAATTCATCGGTGAATAGGATTCGTGAGGGTAAAGGTTCTTGTAATCAATATGATTGGCCAGTGTGACATTTTCAAGACGACTCCCGACCATCTTGAGAACGTTGGTCCATGTTTCTATCAAATCGCCATTTGGGTCCTCAAGCAATCTCTGGGCTTCTTTCGCGTCGCGTATGTACGCGTCATGAGACAGCATTAGAGGCGTCATACCATCGGATCTGGCATCTGGGTTGCGGTCCGGTGTGTCTAAAAGGATTAATCGATCCCACGTTTCAAGCACTAGATCCCAGCTCGCATATGCGTTAAATGTGATTGATCGTGTATAAGTAGCCACTCGCGAGAAGTCGCCACGTTGAAGCTTTAGCAGATGATAACGTGTTGGTTCAAGACGTATATCGGTGAACAGCAACTTGTTGACATAGTGACAGTCGGCAAACTTTCGATGTGTCAATCTCAAAATTTTGAGTTGGCCAGAGTCTGAGATTTCGCTAGCAGATAATCAGCATATGAATACACGGGGGCAACTCGGTCAGACATACTTCCAGCGAGCATCTTCATCCTCTTCGAAAATGAGTAATAACTTTGACACAAATTCGTTGATGATTTCTGGAGGGATACGGGGAAATGCCCCAGATTCGATGGGGGCGGTTAGGCTAGCCATTCGGGTATGTCGCGTAAGTGATATGCGCGAACTAGAAGTATGTTAAGATTTAACTTGGACTAGATGTTGTGAAAGCAGGTTTGTGAAAAGGTTCGGTCGCAGATGAAATTAAATTGTGTGTTGATTATTCTTTATTCACGCTGTAAACATCACGTGAAAGTTCCTTGCCAATCACTTCACTGTTATTGTTGCACAAGACCCAGATTAGTCACGACGCGTATTCTAGCGCTGATTGAAGAAGTTTTTGCTTTTTTCTTTTACTGGAAATGGCGGTCGAATTGACGCTCATGCCCAAGAGAAGTGTTCAGAATGCAAGTACACTCCCGCAGAATCTGCACCCTCAAGAATATCCAAGTTTAAAGACGCCACAGCGTTTCGAACATCATTCTGCATAGTATCCGGACCGCAGACATATACACCTAGCGATTCAGTGGATGTCACTCCGCTTGCCAACCCTCTCAGAATCTTCGGCAAGTCTGGTCGGCCATGCAGTTCGTCAAATGATACCAGGCTTTCTGTGGCTCTTTCACTACCTGACTCTTTGTTGCCAGGGACGAAGCTGCTGTTTGATGGTAGGCTTGATCCTGTTATGTCCCCACAAGTGTGATGAAGCTGTACTTGCAGGCCCGATATCATTTTGTCTGAGTAATTGAGCAACGTTTCGCTCACAACTTGTCGATACCAGCTGCAGCTCTCAACATCTCGACTCGCTAGTACCACGCGAAGTGATGAAAACGGAGATCCCTCCTTTTGTTCTTCTTTGCATCTTTCATTGCCATGCCCTGTTTGGGCTGCGATATACTGCTCGATAAAAGGCAAAGTCCAGCCAGCTCCTGACCCTCCCGCGATGACAACAAGATGGTTGCTCTTGACTAAGCGCTGTGTATTGATGCCCCCATATGGCCCATCGACCAGCACTGAGATCTGAGCTCCTGGATTCTGTAGGGCGTGCTCATAGAGCTTGCAGTAAAACCTCGGTGTCTTTTGAGATAAAACACAAGGAATGACTGGTCATCTGGACATGTTGCAGGCAAGGAGCAAATGGTAAATGGGTGCGCTGACAAGGCTTGTGTAAGTCCAAAACTGGTGAAGCGCAGGAAGCAGTGCTGTCCTATTTCCCATGTGAAGTTGACGGGGATGGCGACACGAACGAAACCGTTGTCCTCCACTTTGACATGAGCGGTTGTTCGAACACCATACTCAAAACAGGTCCGTAGCCATGGGTATACGTAGCAGGGAACATACACAGCACCTGTCCCTATGAAATAGTGCCTGCAGTCGAGTCAGTGTGAGTGGCAGACAGGAATGGGCATGAAAGCCTTACCAAGATGTTAGGGTATAGTCTCAGTGCCAAAAGAAAGTCAACATGAATATGACGACGGCGAAGAAATGCGTTGCCTTGAAGAATTCATATCCAAGCAGCCGTCTGGATTTGACGTAAGCCCACAGTACAGGTCAGGTATTCTAGGTCTGCTTACCGAATGGCACTATGTGACGCAAAGGTCAACCACGCTTGGAAGACTAAGGCGACGATACCGGTCCAATAGAACAAGAGGCTCATCTTAAAATGCATCTGCATATCGTGAAACCTGATATGATACACAATGAATGGGAATGTATGCATAAGAGCAAGTACAAAAAAAGCGTAAGCTATCCATCGATGGAATACTTGGAGTCTCTCGTGTGAGACGCCGGTTAGTAAAGTGATCCAGTTTGTCTTGGTTGCCGTAGCGCTGCTACGCGTCAGTAAAGGTGTAGAAGTCAGAGTTGGTAGTGCAGTACTGACAATACAAATGGCATGCATCCCAAAGCCAGCCATCCAGATCTTGTTCCCAGTGGCGGTGAGCCGCCAAAGTCTAGCGATGGCCAGTAGTACGGCTGAGGGATCAAGTCCATGCCTATCTCACGTTAATTATCGCGCCTGTTCGAGACTGTTCGATTCACCTACAGAAAAAGAAGACGGTTCCAGCCAGACCCAGTAGCAGCACCCCGACAGAAGCCGAGTTAAACCCAAGTGATGCAACATGGAATCCACGATACGAAAGATATCTGATGGTGGCGATCAACATACGCCAGGGTTTAGGTCCACGGAATCTCGGAAACCCAAGGCCAATAACGTAGTATGATATAAAGTGACCAACTGTGAATAGTCCAATGCCAGTCATGAAGAAGGCTACTGTTGGTAAAGCGTAGACATGGTCTGCGATGTACCTTCTTGGTGTTAGACAATAGGTCCTAATGCGGTGCTCAGTCAATTCGAAGGGCTGAGCTTACCAGAAGTGCCATCTTTTCATGTACCATGAGCATTGCGCTTCAGTGAAGCCATCGCAAGTGAATACACGACTCCCAGTCAACTGGACCGGAGGCGTGAGCCAAGCTGCAGAGTCCATACAGAGAAAGTCGATCTCGGAGAACTTTCAGGTAGTAGATGAGAGAATAGATGCCAAGTGATTTCTATCACGGGTTGTTTTGAGGGGTTGGCAATGTGTTGAAGTCTTCGCAGAAGAGATGTCGTGCATATTAATTCCAATCCGGTAAAATTGATGGAGGAGGTTACGAAATGGATTTAAGTGACAGGTGGCCAAGAGATCTATTGCTTGTCTGGCTGATATACAGCGACGTAGATATGTATTACGTTTGCCCGAGTTACTGCTTTATCATAAACAAGGGTCTTGTGCCGAGTTCCGTAAGCATTAACTCTCATTGGACGATCTCTCAATAAAACATCAGCTATTCCCACACTATCATCGCATAAATCGGCACTTGAGTAAGTTTGAGCAGGCTTGAGCAAGTTTATCTGCGGCGATAAGATTATTCCCGACCGCACTATACCCGCGACCGTGGTGATATAAGCTTAGTTGAAGTAATCATAGTTTTACACATCTGACTACCAGCAAGATATTATCTTATTACACAAAATGAAAATGGACATGACTACATCGACGGGCAGTTCAATGCCCATGTCAACTTCTAGCTCCAGCGCTATGGATATGGAGCAAATGAACATGGTCTTCTTCACTTCCACGACAACACTCCTCTGGACAAAGTCTTTCGCACCAGAAACAACAGGACAATATGCAGGCGTTTGCATTTTCCTCATTGCCTTTGCCACTATTTTACGCATGTTGCTTGCGTTACGCGTCAACTTTTACAGTATCAGGGATGGTCTCAGACGGAGGCGAACGAAAGGTCTACGGGTGGAGTCGCGAGGTAGTGAGACAAGCAATCGACCTTGGAGAGCGAATGAGGCTATGATGCTGGGAGCGATAGATGTTTTGATCGCGGGCGTGAGCTATTTGCTGTAGGTGTTTTGATCTATCATTGTATCACTGAGTAGAGGCAGTAACTAACAATTTGTCTAGCATGCTCGCAGTCATGACAATGAATGCTGGCTACTTTCTTTCAATACTGGCTGGGGTGTTTATCGGAAGCGTTTGCTGTAGTCGCTTTTCAGGAAACTTCAGTCTACATTAGACCAGATCTTGACAGAAATGAGAATTAGAAACATGAAAGGGTTTTACGCGTCACGAATGGAATCATCCTCAAATGGCATGGAGCGTGAATCACTGTTAGCCCCGGTTTTTCTCTTTGTGCTAGACTTCACCACCTCAGCCCTCCCCCTGTTCCTTTCACAGTCACATCACACCAATCTCCCTTCTCTCATCAGCTCATCTCCAGCATCTCATCCCTCTCAAGATGAGCAACGCCACTGCTGATCCCGTCGGAAGCACCTCCTGGATTGGAGCTGACGCCTACGATCCAGGCGACGAGCTCCACGGTCGAGCCCTAGCAGTCCTCGACAAGCTCAACTGGGATCATCTCTTATCCCTTTCTTCAGCGCTCAACAATGGAGTCCCTTGCACCTTCAGCCAGAAGTTTTCCATCGGCCACTTTAACATGGTACGCCGCATTGACTTCACCGACGGTACCAGCTGGGTTGCCAGGGTGAGACTCCTAGAGTTCCGCACCGTGTTCGGCGACCGCGAAGTCCCCGATGTGGCCAGCGCTCTCAAGGTGGAAGTCTCGAGCATGAAGTTCTTCAAGTAAATGCGCTCGAGCCACGTATTTGGAAGTCATACTAATGGAGACTCGCAAATAAAAAGGACCAAGACCTCTATTCCCGTCCCTGTAGTCCATTCCTACAGCGTTGATACAGACACCGAGGTTGGCGCTCCATACGTTCTCATGGATTACATTCACGGAACAGTCGCCACGGAATTGCGAGATGCGAATGAATATGAAGCTGGACTCTTCGGCACGCCAGACCAAGATCGGGCTTTCAGAAACCAAATGGCTGAGATTCAAGCAACCTTATCTTCCTTCAAGTTCAGTCAGATCAGGAGCCTCTATCAGGATAAAGAAACGTCCGACTTCTTCATCGGCCCAGAGACAGAGACTGGCAAGGGACCTTGGAGCTCATCATTGGAGTATTATGAAGATATCTCAAACCACGCTCTTCAGGTCTGCGTGCAGCACGCATCTCCTGATGTCAATACAGCGTCTTCATTCGCAAACCCGATCCTCTTCAGACACCTCATGTCCCTATATCGTCAACAAAATCCCTGCAAAGAATCCTTCAGCCTTGTCAATCGCGACTTCGGAGCCCACAACCTCCTGGTCAATGAAGAATTCCAGATTGTCGGCGTCATCGACTTTGATGGCGTGATGGCGGCCCCCATCGAAGTCGTCGCCCAGTATCCAGTCTTGACGGGGCTGAGCCGAGAGCCCCCGGGGTGTGTCGAGACGAGACCCGCTGCGATCGAGCGCATCGAGAGGACGAAGCCGAAGCTCATGGAATACAAGGAGATGCTGGCGGCTGCGGAACGCAAACTCAGGAAGGACGACGAGGGAGCCACGCCGATTGCGGACCTGTTGCTGTCAGATGCTGCGAGTGTGTTTCAAGGCCTGGTGAGATACCAGGTTCACCAGGTTTTTGTCAACGATCAGTGGATGGAAGCTTACCTGAAGCTCATCCGAGACCATTTTCAGAAAGATGGCTCTGTAGCTGAATGAGACAAGGGAGTCGCTGGGTTAGGGCGTATGTTCGGTAAGTATCATACTATTTGCGAGGCGATGTAAAGTCAAAATGGTCACTTTGCTCATGGCAACAAGGTACCGACCACTGTCAGTGGAGCATCGTGTCCCAAGCCAGAATTTTAGACAGGCGCTGTGTCCTCCATAACGGGGATCATGGAGCCAGTCCCTAGTCAGTCTAGCAAGCATTAAGAGAAGCTACACATTATCATGCGGTGTAAGGTTTGGAAGAGGAAAAGCTGCTTCGGCGTTTGTGTGTGACTTCATGCCCAGTCACTATGTATAACTGGTTAACTAGCTGTATAAGAGCACAGGAACGTTCGGGTTCGAATAGACATGCTGCCTCAAGGTCAAGGCCTCGCTGAACTGGCTATTGTGTTATTGCCACCCCACAGCTCCCGTGCATTCTCCCTAAACAGCTGATCTCGCAGCTGAACATTTCCTTTTGTCAGATCAAGAAGATGGGAAGTCCAAGGCTTGATATCGAGTCCCTCGAATCTAGTATGTGGCCAATCTGAGGCATAAACAAGTCGAGACGGTGCTGCTTTGAAGAGCTTAAGGATGACAGGATCAAGGCCAGTGTACAAGGGTCCTGGGGCTTTTGAAAGGCGATAGACAGCAGACACCTTGACCCAAGTGTTATTTCCCTTCAAGAGTCGCAACATTGAGTCAAATCCAGTTAGAGATTGCGGGTCGAGAGCAGCCCCGGTGATGTTCGACTTTGGGATATCTGGGTGGCCAAGATGGTCGATAACGACCTTGACTCCCAGATCTGGAATCACGGGCTCGATACCAGGTAAGTCCTTCATGGCGATATAGATCTGCAATATCCAGGAAAAAGGTCGAATCGCATCTGCATACCTCTGCATCATATCTCTGAGCTCTTTGGCCTGCGGTGCATCACCCGTTGACTGAAAGTTTAACCGAACACCACGAACGCCGAGGTCATTCCATTCTTGAAGTTGTGCAGTTGATGTGTTGGCGATGTCAAACACGACGACACCCAGGGCCCTGTCCGGCCCGAATGCCTTGAGAGTATCAATGAGCAAGGTATTGTCATTTCCGTAGACCGACGGTTGAATCAAAACCATATGTGAACAGCCGAGTCGCGTTTCTTCAATGGTGGCATCCCATGCTGTGTATGTACCGAATTTGTATGATCCCGGGATAGGCGGGAAACGAACTGGGTCCAGGACGTGGAGGTGAGAGTCCCATGAGCCGTTTGGCATGCGGCTGTCAGGCTTGAGGTCGCATACCTCAGAAGAGGTGGTCCGAGCCGCGGCTTGTGAGATAAATAAGCAATGCGCAAGAAAGGTCGGGATCCGTTTGAGACCGTACATGGTGAACATAGCTAAACGGTATAAAGTGATGAAGCGGTGACATCGGAATTCTAGAACTCGCAAAGAACGAGGTATTTAATATGCATCAGTCAGCGTAGCAATGGCCCTCGCAAACCCATTATTCTGAGCCGTCGTCCGCTGCTGTTGAATAGAGTTGACCTTGGCGGCAGTTGTATGTCGCTGGAAACAGTGGGGATCTCCACGGTAGTTGAGGGCGGGGTCTAGATCTGTCTTCCGACTGCTGTGACGCCAATTTGTCAAAGAACGGTCAATCATAAACCTTCACCATTGGGCAATCAATAAGCAAGACGCAAGGCTCTGGGGGGAAATTCCTTTTGAATCTATAGTAAGTCAAAATTCATAGTACCTACAGGTATTTGCTGCAACGTTATGAAGTTCTGGTGTCTGGCAAAGTCGTGCGATCTGATGATTAAAGCCGCGGTAGCAGAGCAAACATGGCGAAAGTACCTTTTTAGGGAGCTCTCTAGGCAGTGGAATTTCCGGAACTGGCCTCCTTTATATCTTTACTTGTTCAAGAGATGCATACCACTATTGAGTAGGCCAGTTTACCATTTCGAGAGATAGTCTAGGTTATCATTCCATTTCCTCCCGCGACTCTCCGATTGTGGGGTTACGAGTTCAAGTAAGTAATTGGCTGGATAAGAATAGCTTATCTATTGGCTGAAAACTAACTGCCTTGAGCTTCTTGCTCCTTCGTGTGACGCTAGGGCCTCCTGTCAGACCAGACTCTCACTCGGGTACCGCACACGAGATGTCTTTGGAATCTTCCAAGTTTGTCATACAATTCCTTGATTTAATATTTATAACTGCTCCAAGCTGACCTGACTAATCTTAACACAAACCTGAGCCCAAGAAGATGTATCTGTATATATTAATAATTCACTCAGTACCAAAGATCTTTTCTTAGAGACAACTACCCCACAAGACTAGTCCAGAAACTGCACGGCACTCTCCGCTAGTTTTCAGCCCTAAATTGCTGACTCGACCCCATTCATCCATGTGCCGATATAAGAATCCTGCTCGGTAATCACTGGGTCGACCCTCTTGACACTGCCGTACTCTCCTCCCTCCCTCCTCATGGCGACCAATCATTCTCCTCCCCTCGTTTCTGCAGGGCCCTTGCTCCTCCCCGTCCAGCTCATCCCGCGACGAAACGCAAGATCCAAGCAGCGCTTTTATCGCCTCAGCAAACCCAAGGTCCGCAGTGGGTGCTTGACGTGCAAGACTCGACGCGTCAAGTGTGACGAGGGAAAACCAGCGTGTGCGCGGTGTATTCGTGGGGATTTTGTGTGCGATGGGTATGAGACGCAGCCTCCCAAGCTTGAGATTGTCCCCGTGTCGCCTACTCAGGTCGTGCCGGTAAAGTTCCTGCCGCTGGCTCCGTCTACGCTGCCTGGGCTCGATGGACACAGTGTACCGTACCTCGATGCCTTTCGGTATCACGTGGCACCGGAGCTCTCGGGGAGCTTTTACATGGATTTCTGCGAGGGGACGATTCTTACTGGTGTGCATCAAGATGACTCCATTCGTCAGCTGGTGCTAGCACTTGGCGCCTTAACCCTTGCTATCGCCGATGACGCGAGGGATACGAAGCAGTCTATCGTGCAAGCGAAACCTTCACCGCTCAAGGTTTGGGGGCCGAGCAGTATCAAGAACAGAAATCACGCTGCGTCGCTGAAGCATTACCTCAAGGGTGTTCAAGGTCTTCGCGAGCGATTAAAGCTCGACCCGGCTCATGTCTCCGTACGGACCATGACGGTCATGACGATTCTTATGGCGTTGTTTGAGATTCTGCAAGGGAACCATCGGTCGGTGGACAGTATACTGAAAAGTGTTACTGCTCTGTTGAACGAACATCTTGCGCAGCAGAGGAGCACGGAAGGTAGTAAGGATGAGATTACGTCGGTTCAGCATACATTCCTCTGCTTTTCTATGATGTGTCAATACTCCCGCCAAATAATATCAGCCATACCGATCTACATGCAGATAAATACAGTCTCTGCCACAGAACCACCAATCTTTGGGGTAGACTTACCAAAATCCCTTCTTGGTCGATGGCGTTTGTTCAACAGTGCTATGATGGCGTATATAGGTCAAGCCCACGACGTAGTGGCGCTGAAAGACCCGGAATTCATCAAGTCATTTCATCTACGCGGCCGAATTCTATACAAACAAGCGCTGTCATGGCGTGAGGTGATCCGGGCGTATCTCAAGAGCGACCTTGACGAGGATCATCTTCACCGGCTGAAGTTACTGGAGATACACTGCATTATATCAGAGATCCACTTGGATTGTATCCTAATACCGTGCGACTTGTCTTATGACCGGTACGAGGAGACATTCAAAGCTCTGCTTGACGACTGCACAGCGTGGTTAAAGCAGCAGGTCCGCAACGGTGTTCCTCGACATATCACTCTCGGCGAGGGTATACTGCTTCCACTGTCCGGTATCGCTCGTCTATGTCGAGTTCACGATGTCCGTATGGAAGCACTATACCTCATACAAAGTGTAACCTGGCAAGAGGGTGCTTGGGATCCTCAGTTTCTAGCACTGGGAGAGCTTGGTACTGTGGTGATGGAGGAGCGAGGCAGGGAAGAGAGTGGGTTCATACCAGCGTCCTCGAGGTGGCTTTGGGTGAGTAACGTGGATGGAGAAAAGGAAGAGGATGGTCCTCTTGGGCTTTACATTTCTCGGTTCTTGGGTGAGAATGGACAGCCGCTGGTACGAGTGATACCATATGATAGCTCATGGTGGGATGAGGTATGTGACATTTCGGGCTGTAAGAAGGACCATGCTATAAGATCAAGAGAGGTTTTTCATGTTGTGCCCAGTAAGGTACACAAAGCATCGGTGTTGGAATAAGTCTGGGAAATGACTGTATTGAGAACAATGGCATATGGGTTGTACAAAATGGATAAGATTACCGATAGACTAAGGACGTGTTTAATAATTATAGCTTTCTATGCTGTGATCTTTTAAATGCCCGGCCGAAGTAATCTATGTTCAGATGGACTAGGTTCTCTCTGCCGGAATAAGCTCTCAGCCACAAGTCTCAACAGCCAATAACACGTCTAGCTCACAACTTTTAGATTGGGGAGCAGTGCGTTGAACTGCATGACTGCACTGCCCGCTTTGAAGAACATACCACATTCACCTTCCCACTGGAAGAACAAAGACGCCGTATTATGAGTCAATACAGAAATACAAGTGACTTACCATTACAAGAATAATTATTAAAGACCTCCGTGCCTAAAGCCAGTGCCTTCTTTATCTTCCTTCAATCACCACAACATATCTACAGCCATATACCGTTGTCTCTCTCAATACTTCCCCACACTACTATCAATTCAAAGACTACAAAATGTCAACTGAACCCTATCTCAACGCAGTCACCGCGCTTGAACGCTTCATGCCATATGAGCTTGGACGTCAGCTGCAGCGCTTCCACGACGACCATCCCAGTTCGCTTCCCATGCTCACAGACAAGGACTGGGAATGGATTCGCGACGTGTGCACAAAGCCACGAACCCAGCCAGGCGAAGAACGATACCCTGCTGAGCGGGTTACTAGCGCAGAGCCAATCAACCATTTTCTGCCTCGTTGGCGCAGATATATGAGATATAAGCATCCTTATAAGGGATATAGGATTGGGTATTGCAGGAGATTCAAGCATGACAAAAGTCGGGATCCCAGATTGAGAACGGACGATAACCCTGAGCCCGAGGGACAGGATTCTGGCCAGGATGAAGCCACCGAGATGAACCAGGGTGATGGAAGCAGCGTCGCACGCGAAGCTGGCTCTGAACAGGAGGGCGAGGGTTAGCGAGGGTCAGTAGGAGTGGTAGAATGCTGCGGGACGTTGGGAGGTACATCAACTATAACTACAGCTCTGGGGTGGTCAGTCAATATGATGCTTTTACGAACGAACGATGAAGACTACCGCCAAAGATGCCAGCATGCGGCCATCAAAGATGCATCACGGGTTTATGCTTTTAAGAAGGACCATGCTGCGTTCAAGAGAGGCGATATTATCCCAAGCATGTTAAGATAGATAGAGAATAAAATACTTGAGCATTTTGTTCTCGACCGCAGGCAATGCATATTTAGTATGTAATATCTCATTTACTTCGGGCAAACATGGCGAGATCAGAAACGCTCATATGCCCACTGTCTTTGCCAACTGTAGATGTGACTCAAATCACAGTTCCGCATCCTCTTTCAGATTTCTCAAGCTGAGTTCCACATACAGCCTGGTACTCAAAGATCAAAGTAGCAGATGTTCGTACGGTACTTATTCCCAGGGTGCGTCACGACAGACCGTCCACACGTGACAGTCTGCGACTTTCCATTAAGAACACTTCCTTTAACCGTAAGACTCTGTCCACTGCCAGACTGAATCTGGAAAGCAAGCGTGTCACCAAATCTCAGCGTCTGAGGACATCCGAACCGCTGGCAGAAGTTCCTGAGCTCTGAGTTGGGGCACTCGTCGCTTCCCTTCATACCAGTGGGACTCTTTGTAGAACCATCAGCGCCTGTGGCGAGCGCCCAGGGACCACAGCCGATACCAGGTGTGTTGCCAGTGGTGGGGGGAATGACGAGGGAAAAGTAGCCGATTTCGAGGTTGATCTTTGCAGCGTCAACGGTGGATGCTGCGAGGGCGAGGATGGTGGCGAGACTTGGGAAGTGCATGATGAAGATAATCTTGAATAGCTAGCTTCGGACTTTTCAATTCGGGGAGAAGGACAAACTTTGGAAGTCTCTGAAGGATATCTCAAACTGAGAGATGGGGTTGTGCGCAAGGATGAAGAAGCCCAGAATCTCATGGGTTTTCAAAGGCCTTTTATAACCGCCTGGGCTGCTATAGTGTCACCTTTTGCCCTTACTAAAGACTCAAAGGAAAGAATGGACCGAGCTCAAGCGGCCGACTGAGCATCATGCCAAGCTTAAGTCTCATAGAGCCATTTTCGCGAGGGTGAAGAGCATCGCATACGCTGCATAAGGTCCACTTTGAAGACCACACGGTCCCTTACGGAGAGTTGCTCGATCAGCTACTTCGCCAGCTGTGCACTTATGATCCCTCCTTCAATTAGGCGATATTGAGATTGCTATCATGCTAGAGATTGAAAGAACCTTACGGCGGCGGCCTAAAGAGACTGAGGCATATGACCCGTATACAAGATATTAGCAAAGAGCCTCAAACAATGTTAATTTAATTCAAATGGGGTAGCTCAGTTTTCATAATTTACACCGCTGACTCACCTGCATTGTCAGCATTAGACACGGGTAGGTAATAATGCCAAGCCTCGGCTCGGCTCGATGCGTCTCACGAATCCAATAAGAAAGGTCATACAAGAAGAATAAGAGGGACTGGAACAACTCACTACATCTTTTCAGTCGTAGCCGCCTCAGCCTATGGTTCATTGTCAAGGTGCTTGATGATCTGCGGTAGGCCTTCCGCGTATCACACCAGATGCCACTCCAACGGTCTGCCCAGTTACATATATATTAACCCAACTTTCCAACATTCCTAGCGATTGGCGATTTTAAAATTCAATCTCGAATTCCAGTATCCCAATTTGATACAAAGACTAATTTAGTTACATCAAAATACAGACTGATATAAAATTAATCCATTACTCTGTTTCCCAGCTTTGCATTATAGTGACCAATCATTTCCACTATTAGTACCTAATGGGAAATTTCTGCCTAACATGTAAAGGGCAAACCATCAGCGTCGCTTTCACTTCCACTCTACGTAGGTTATTTCTAGTACAAGAACCCCGAAGTATTATTACAGCTTGATAGGATATATCATTGTGTACCAAGCTTGATCCTCTTTCTCGTCGCCAGGTACCAATGACTAAGAATACAAAGAGTGTTCGAATAGCCAGCGACACGAGAAGTCAAGAGCCTATTTTGAACGATGGTGTCAACCAGCGGCGTGGGAAAGCAAGTTTGCCTTATGAGCTCTACAATGTGGGCTGGATATGCTCTCTTCCTATTGAGTTAGCTGCCAGTATAGCCATGCTCTCAGATATCCATGAGCCCTTGCCGGGCAAACAGCATGACAGCAATACATACACCTTGGGCCATATTGGTCCGCACAACATCATTATCTGCTGTCTCCCCTCCTATGGAACGAACAATGCGGCAGTGGTAGCAAGCAATATGCGCCGCACGTTTCCCGGCATTCAATTCACGATGCTGGTTGGCATTGCTGGCGGAGCCCCTACCAACGTTGATATCCGACTTGGAGACGTCGTGGTGGGCACTCGGGTAGTGCAGTATGATATGGGGAAGACTGTGGAAAATGGGAAGGTACAACGGACCGGAAGTCTCAATGGTCCTCCACAAATTCTGTTAACTGCCATTGCAAAGCTTCAAGCACAAAGCAAGTCAAGACAGAACATACTGGCTCTCGTACTTTCTGAGAAGGGTTTCTACCGGCCTGATCCTGCAACCGACCTCTTATTTGAGAGCACGTATGAACATACCAACTTGGACAGTACCTGCAGATCCTGCGATCTGTCGATGCTAGTGCAGCGGCCACAGAGAGATGGCGATGAACTAAAGATTCATTACGGAGTAATTGCTTCTGGGAACCAGGTTATAAGACATGCTATCACCCGAGATATACTAGCTGAGGAGCTGGGCATGTTGTGTTTTGAGATGGAAGCTGCAGGAATCATGAACACCTTACCCTGCCTCGTTATCCGTGGTATATGCGATTACTCAGATTCGCATAAGAACAAACACTGGCAGGAGTATGCGGCGGCCGTCGCAGCTGCTTACGCTGCAGACCTTCTGTCGTTCGTTCATGCAAGTGATATCAATACGGGCTCCCCCATTTTTACAAGTGACCACGACAGCAACATCAACTGGAGCTTGGGTGGTAATGCTCGCGGTGGTGACGCGTACGGCGGGAATGCATCAGGAGGCAACGCTCGTGGGGGAGACGCCCGTGGGGGAGATGCTCGTGGGGGCGCTGGAACTGGGGGTAATGCTCGAGGCGGTGATGCGTCAGGCGGCTTTGCTCGCTGGGTGGGTCAGTATGGAGGCGATGCTCGGGGAGGGGATGCCCGTGGGGGAGATGCCTGGGCTAACATGTTTGAAGGGTAACTAGGTTGTAATTACGCCGTATTCACTGAAGCTATTACTTGTACCTTCTGCTTACCTAGCTCGCACGTAATTGTTTGTGTATATAACCACTCATTCCACATTTTCTTAGTGATCCCTAGATGTCGTGGACGTGACTGGTGCTGAAAACGTAGTCAAGGGGGCGCGCACGGCCGTTCATAACCTCACTATGAACGACTTTCAAGCCACTTTTTTATCTTCATGATATGGTTGAAAGCCAAGTATTGATATGCATCTGTTATCACAGCCAGCTCATACTTCATTAGAGCAGTTATCTAGCGATCTGAAAGAACAGTGGAGCCATTTGCGTAGGGTGGAGGCTGAATCGCTGACAGGGTTCGCATTTGTGATGTTCAATGTCTGTCGCGGTTCGCATTAGAACTGAAAGTGAGACCTTTTCTTGAAATGAGACTTTTAGGCGACTGCATATGCATGTTGGCTCGAGCGAAGGGCTCGTGTGACTTGGTCGGCGCAGCTGCACCGGCCCAAAGCGGGGATCGTCAACGATTACGCCGATACGATTACCAGGACGAGAGAAGTGAAATAGATAGTTTACTCGGCTTTTAAGACGCCTGTGAGATTTAAATACGCTGATGGTTGATGACACATTCTAAGCTACCTCTTCCTTCATATCAACGTCACTATCTGCATCAACAGCGAATCAAAAATATGCCTCTATCGGCCAGCACTATGGCGATTATCTCTCATACCATCATCCTTCTGATCATCCAAGCATATGTTGTCGCTACAGAAGTGCATCATGACCACCGAAACGTGAGAGTCGAGAAGACAGATCCCAATACCGATATCATCGGACAAGAAATATCCATCTTGGACCCTGATGCAGATACAGAGAGGGTCTTGCGTTGCAAGCCCGACACTGGCAAGAAGCTGTCACGAAGCGCAGACAAGGAATGGGTCGCCTGTTGTTTACCTCAACAGAGACTCGTTGGCACCGCTTCCACTGCTTTCGACTGCTGCGAAGTACCATACGATATAGCAGGCTCAAGCGACGTTGGATTTACCTGCTGTCCTCTGGGCTATACCTACGATGGCGTTTCTTGTAGGGCTCCGCCAGCTCCCAACAAGGAAGAGGCTTCAAGCACATCCAAGACTCTGTCTGGCATAATTGAAGGTCAGGATATGTGATTCTTTTCGTAACTGAGCTTACATACTTGTCAGGTCGATGCTATGAACTTATTTTCGGCGATGGTCTCTTGCTTGGCCAAGCCGATAACAAGGCTCAGTACACAGCTGCGTTAGCTGGCTCTGATCACCGTGTCGGGAGATTCAAATTCTGCAAGTCCAAATCTTGCAATTCCGATCACGCCATCACCTTCGACGAGCCTTTTAACATTGAAGAAGCGCTTCTCCAAGCGAGCGAGGATCACAATATGAGATCGTGGCTTGATAAGTCTAAAAGCGGCGATCCCATTGGGAAAACAGATAACTCCAATCAAGCGGGCTGGTTCTTGCTGAAGAAATCGTCTGAGGGGTATTGCTTAGGAGGTTTGAACCAAGGAGTTGGCCGTACCAATTTCGAAAAGGCCTCCCTTACCTTTTTGCTCGACGACGAGAGCCAACATTCCTGTCTACTTTTTCAAGTCGTCGAGGTTTCATGCAAGATGCAGGCAAGGCGGATTGACGAACCGCCCTGTCCTCCGCCTAGCCAAGATGAGAAGAGAACAGATACTTTGGCTGAGGGCCGTATTGGTTGTCTGTATTGGCAAGGGTCCGACGGCATACGTGATTCGTGTTTGCAAGGTCGGGAGGTCCCTCACTACCCAGCGGTGCACAACTACTACGTATACCCTTTCGACAACCAGCCAGGCAATGCAAGATTCACTGGCGGCAGCGGTGAAGGCGGTAGCGGGATTGGAGGTGCTGTAAACATTGGACAACAGGCTCGCCGTGATTCGGCTGGGGGTGACGGCACTAGAAAGTGTAGATATATTTAGCCTGAAAGGAAATCCCGCGGCATTTCACGTTGCTGGCAGAGCCTTGCTGTGCTCATCTGAGACAGCTGCTTGCTAATAGTACGGGCCGTCGCGTCCCGTCACTTAGAAAGTCTATAATCACAACCACTTGACTTGGCGTGCCCGTACAGAAGCAGACGAGAATCCTCTTTGGCGGGTTGCCTCGGTGAGAAGAGAAACCCGAGCCACCTCGTATGACCAGGCGGAAGGGCTTACGACGACGTCCATACCAATTTGGGCTCGCCAAAACAAACCACATCATCTTGGCCATGCTTTATTGGCTTGGCGCAGCCGAGGCTGGTACTCATGTGCCAATGTTTGATTTTTCTCCCACTCCAAAAACAAAGGAAAAGCGGGGCGCACAGTCATGAGTTTTCGACAGCAGAGGTTCTGGTTTGTACTTGTGACTCTGCTGAGACTTGAGGTTGGCGAGTCTCAGCCTGTATCTAGTACATGTGCTTTTAAAAACAGGATGGACACTTCATCATACCTGATTCTTCCCTTGTCGACCTGCAAGGTGACTCTCTCTGGGCCGTTTCCCAGATCTTTGCGGAGTCAAGAGCCAACAAAGCAGGACTACAACAACCGCACGTATGTGAATTAGCCCTGTTCACGGGGGAGGCAGTCGCTGTGACTCATATCCAGAAACTTATTCCAGCATTAGAGACGAGAAGAGGGTCACATTTATGACGATAGAGGCTGAGCTACTGAAGAGCTATTGCGTGTCTAGTCGAGCCCAACACCTCCTTCATCAACCGCTGTGCCTCGCTCAGGTTACGGTGCTGGCGATGTACTCACCGAAGGCTCAATTTTCAGGGGCTTTGAAATTTGGTGTAGCAGAGAGCCTGAATATCGCACGAAATAGCGTATGGTGAAAAGACATGTGGCTAGGGCTTACAACTTTCTCGCTGGCCTCTAAGTTGAGAGCAAGTTGACCGTGGCTCATGACGCGTCCAGATGTCTGTGCTCCGTTTTCCAGTATCACTCCCGAGTACTGAGCTTATCTCATTGGCCTATCGTCATCGCCCAGCACAGGTAACATGTTTCAAAGACAGTCTGATTCGCCATGCCACAGTGTTGGGCAAAGAATTGGGTTGACCGAGAATCAAATTGTGGTGATAGAGGTACTCACTAAGGGTACAATGATGTCAGCGCCTTGTTCAGTACTGACTTGAAACTCCTCGAATGAGACTGTAACAACTGGCGGGCTAATAATAAAATTATCATAGGAAGTAGTATATATAGTAGAGCGTATAAGGAAGCAAATAACAGATGTCCATATAGCAAAACAGCCACTTTAGACTCTAATTAAGAATCGACAATGATCATGAAGAACGTCAAATTCAAAATCATTCACCGTGGGTCTTCCTTGAAGCTTCAGTGACTTTATTACTGACTATTAGACAATTAGCCGATCGCGGAACAGATCTGCAAGAGTATGAATGCAAAGACAATGCCTTTGTGCAGGAATTCACTGCACTTGTTGCTTGTGAATACACATTGGACGGCGATGTGGCACTTCACTATAATGGGAAAAAGATTTATCAGCCAACATTACCCTTGTTCAAGCTCATTGACGCTGAGAGTGGCAAGTTAGAAGTCTGGGTTGACCCTAGCAAGTCAGTGGCACAAGGCGGTGTTGCAAGAGGTGCAAGCGCGACTCAGGTAGCTGGTGTCCGAGGCATAGCTCGCGGGGGCTATGGAGGAGGTGGACAGGTTTCCGGCAGTGCCATTCAGGGAGGAGGTGCCCTAGGTGGCAATGCTGAGGGGAGACAAGGAAATGGAGGCCAGGCCTTTGGAGGTCATGCTAATGCAACCGAAGATGGTCTGGAGGCTAATGGTGGCACCGGGGTCGGTGGATCCATGGCATACGTACACTTGTAGAATCGAGTCTAGTCTCATCCTTGTTTAGCACAAAGATCACTCAGGAAACAGCCTGCGAAGCATGGCCTGCACATGGCACAGCCCTATCAAGTAGCATCTTAGCAATTGACACCCAGTTCCTTATGCTGCCTTGCAGTCGACTTTACTTCCATGAGGTCCCAGTCCACTTTCTCCAGGGATGCCACGATGAGACAAACAGTTACTTGCAGGTGAGGTACTGTAGTCGAAGCGACTAAACGCCAGTGGGAAGTCGCGCATGTGGACAGTGAGATGACATCGGCACTTGTATTTCACCACCGCTCGATGTAAGAATTCACCCTATCAGCTGTACTGTGAATTCAGTCTAAGCCTTTCCTATGATATTCCATCATACACTAAAATGACGCCAAGTCTCGGCTCGGCTCGATGCGTCCCAGGAATCCAATCATGAAGGAGATACCAGAAGAAAAAGAGGGACTCGGAACATTTCATCACAACACTTTAGCAGGGAATTCAGTCTACAATCTATTGTCCGGATACCAGATATCTTAGACCATTCTCATCTCAGATCATGTCCACTCCAACGCTCTGTTCAACCGCCTCCTTGCTGACTCTCCAACAGACCTCTGCTGTCTCAGCATCCTGCGCCCAAGCCGCAACAAACTCGGGATCTTTAGTAACTTGGCAGTCATTCATGAAAACACCATCAGGTAGATCTGGTGCCAAAGCAGCAGTGAGGCCAGTCGCACAACCTCCTTCAGACGACTTAGTAAGCGCCTCATTTGCGTCTTCGAGACTCCTCCCCGTAATTCTCTGTGCCATATCCATTAATACTTCGGATTTTATATGGTTATACATCCCAGTGTCCATGTTGCCCGGGTGCACAGCAAAAGACCGAAGTCCCTTTTGCGCATACCGCTTGTTAAGCGCCATGGAGAAGAGGATCTGAGCTCCTTTGGATTGAGCATATGCCTCAGCTGGGTTATAGCTTTCTGGGTGTATATGGTTGAAATGCGGATCTTGAAACGTTGGCTCGTAGTATTTGTGTCCGAGGCTTGATATGTTGACGACTCTTGGGGAGGTCGATGTCAACAGTAGAGGCATGAGCATGTTTGTAAGGAGGAAATGCGAGAGATGGTTGATTGCAAATTGACTCTCAAATCCATCCGTTGTGCGTACAAGATCGTTGGTGATGATACCGGCGTTATTGAACAGCGCGTCGATTGCAGTGATGTCTTTATCGGCAAGGATGGCCTCAGCAGCTTCGCGGACTCTTGCCATAGACGCTAGATCTGTTTCGATAAACTTCACAGTGATCGAAGCGTTTATCTCGTGGATCTTGTCGATGACGGGTTGGTACTTGGACTTGGAGCGGGCGAGAAGGATGAGCGTTCGGGGGGACTCGGTTGCTAGAGCGGAGGCAGTTGCTGAACCAATGCCATTAAGAGAAGGACCTGTGATAAGAACTATACAAGCAGTCAGTCCATTAACCAATCCTAAAGCAAGAAAATGGACATGCTAACATGTTTTGTTTTTGACGCGTTCTGGGAAGGCTGCGACAACCTCTCCTCCAGTTGTTGCTGCACCGAACTGCGCCATGACACTTTGACAAAGGGACCTCTTCGTCCGCTGCTGGGTTCTCTGTGCTAACACAACAGTTTCCGGACATCCGATTCTTACTTATAGCTCTCAAAATACAAGTTCCAGTCAACTGAGCGCCTGTCAGACTTGTCAAGGGACTCCATAATATTCTTCAACAGCCGGATCTAACACCGGAGCCGCGATGCTAAGTCCGTTTAAATCCCTAACCTGCATTCTACATTATAACATAAAGACTAAATAGCTTAGGTGGATTCTTTTACTTAGGTATTAGAAATACAAGATGCTCCTTTCCAAGACAGAGTGGCCAGGTAACAATAGACCACGCTGGGAAAACTGCAATGGAAGAAGATTACGTCAATAATGAGAATTACCAATTATTCTCTTCTGAATAATCAGCTTGCTCTCTACCCTTGTCTGTTATATGTCTTTGATTTGCTCAGCCGGCAAGTCGGCGTCTTAGAAAGACCTCGACATCTCGCAACAGCTTTAGATATTTGTAATCGTCAGCTTACGGTATGATATGATACTCAAGAGATGGTCAAATCGCTCTGTATTTAAGTCTGCAGGATCCGAAGTCCAGGTCAAACAATATCAGCAACCGCATCTTCACTCAAACCACTATTATCTGGACTCATAGCGCAACTTCAAGACATCACAACAAACCTCTCCAAAGGACTCCCCATGGCGACCTCAACACCTATCCCCGTTCTCACAATCTCCCTTGCTCGTTATCTCCACGGGTACGGAGCAGTGGAAAGTCTCGCCGAGCAATGGTCCGAGACCAAAGTCCCTGCCTCAACATCATCGCGCTTCACCAACATCGGCTTTGACCTCGACGAGAAGGGCGGAAACCTTGGCGAACTTGAATCACTACTCAAAGAGAGGGAGTGGAGCGGAATAATCGTCGGATGGTGCTCTCGTGGCGCTATCGAGTTCACGGAACTATTCGAGTCAATCGTTACTATCTGCGTTGACTACATCGTCGAAACGAAGAAGGGGGATACCTCTCAGAAGGAACCCAAGCTGATCTTCTGTCGCGGACCGGATGACTTTGTCAACGCGACGCTACGCAATTTTCCCAACTAAGACCAAGACACCAGAGGAGTCCTGAGTTTTACTACAATTATTGGTTCGCATTGCTAGAAAATAATTCATTCGTTGAGTAGGAGTGTCAATTGATGCAGTTGAATTGAGTTTATGCCACGCTGCCTATATAGTACCCAATTGCAGAGACCCCATCACAATCCCTTCACTACAGCAGGCTTGAGCCTGTTCGTCTTCCGTAGTATAGTGGTCAGTATGCAAGCTTGTCACGCTTGAGACCCGGGTTCAATTCCCGGCGGGAGAGATCCAGCCACCTGCGATACGCAGGTTTCCTTTTTCTATTTTTTGACAATTAAGTATTTCGTATAAAGACAATAGTTGTGATTTGTTTTTGCTGTACTGAAAGGCCATAGAAACACTGTTGCCGCCATCGGCCCCTTGTCTGGTAGGTCTGCTATTGATTTCACCTTGAAGGGGATTCTTCAGGCCGACCACATTGGTACTGATTCCTATGCTTCTCTTGTTCGAATTAATCCTTGTGACATTCAAGACAATTGGTGATAATCTGGTTGCGTGTGCTACGGTATCTCTTAACTGCATCCTTACAGCCCTTCCTATGTTTTGCCGCTTGACTATTTTCACGTCTGTAGATCTGGCTATGAAATAGATGCTGTTCTCGTATCTCGGTCAACTGTAGCATTCCGACAGAGCTAAAGCATTTAACTTTATCCCAGTGTGTCTTGTCATTAAAGTTAAATGTCTGATAAGGCGAAGAGCTGTCACAATCGGCGCGAAGTACTTGCCGTCCCAACACATATTCACAGAGCAACAGCCACATTATGTCACCGATTCTATTCTTTGTTCCTAACTGTGAACCTGTCAGTATACCTGCGCGACTCAGACTCGTATACTCGGACAATATTATTACACAACCAAGCTTCCTCCTCTTATCATCATTGCTAAATCTAGGCCGCCAATCCTGCAAGGGCATTGGGCTCACCAAGAGCGCCCTGAGGGAATCGAGAGTTGAAGCCAATAACAGACTGAACACTGTGGAAGGTGGATGTCTTGATGGAGAGCTTCTGGTCGGAAACGAGCCATCGGACACCCTCGCTGCAGGGGGGAGTTGTGAGAGAACCCTCGTATCTATATCGATTGTTAGTATGGTTCAAGTGAAGGTAGCAATGGATGGACATACGTTTGGAAAGATCCTGCAGCGAGAGTGCTGACCAACTCAGCCATGCTGAGACCCTTGGTCTTGGTAAGAGTTCCAGGCTCAGAGATCTCACCAACCGAACCAAAGACAGTCTCGAGCAGGTTGGATGCAGTAGTAGCAGCGGTAGTGGGAGCGTTGACATGGAAGAAAGAACCGCCAACACCAGGAAGTTGTCGCTTATCCTTCTTCTCGGTCTCACTCTTACGAACAACCTTGGTGAAACCATCACGCTTGCGAGCTGCTGGTGTGGCTGCAGGAGGAGCAGGCGCAGTAGCGTTACCAGCAGGGCTTCCACCAGTGCCATCGTCAACATCAATAAAGACACCAACGACAGCGATCTTGGCATCGGCGCTCTCCCAGACCATGTGCATCTCCATAGCCATACTCTTTCCAGCATCGAGATGTTCACTGGGCAAGTGGAAATGGAACTGCTGGAGAGTGAAGCTGTTGTTCTGGAAAGACATGGTGCCCTTCCCAGCGACGACTTCGACGGTTGTACCGAGGTTCTCGAATTCGGCGCCCTCGAGCATATCGGGGATCTCGAGGCTGAGCTGACTGGCGGGGACCATGGCGTTGGCGCCTACGACCATGTCGATGGGAGATTGGTTCACGCCGGTAGAGCAGAGAGCGTTGGCCTGGGGGTCGAGAGCGTTCCAATTGGTAGGGCCCTGTAATTGTCAGCATTGTCACCGATGTTGAGGTCTCAATGACTTACAATCTTGCCAGTGTAACCGAAGGTGTTAACCTCAACCTTGCCGCCCTCAGCTCTCGGCTGCAACAGCGTACCATAAGCACAACTCGCAATAGCCTCCGAGGCAAAAGCACTCAAGAGAAGAGCCCTCAAAGAAATGGAACCAGCCATGATGATTATCCTTGACCAACAAAAAAAAAAGTAAAGCTTGGCTGTAAGTAGTGACTGAAACAAATAATATTATCCACTTGACAAAATAGAGGCCAGCCTCAAAGAAGAGAAAGAATTAAACAGTCTAGGAAACAAAGAACAGAATAATCGAACGATGATGAGTAAAAATCAGCAGGTTGCGCGGATGCATTGTTTTAATAGAAGATCTGGGTGAGGTATAGTAAACAGGCTTTAATGGTCGAAAATAGCATCGGCGTGTTAGTGTTGTTTCGTGAGGTATGCTTAAGGTAACCTTAAACCTTGACGTGCGGAGGTGGGGAATAGCGTGATTCACGCCGCAGGTCCTGTCGCGACGAGGAGGGTGAGACTCTCCCGGTCTCGGATGCCAAGGAGGGAATGAAGCCTTGGGAAACACACCAAGAGAGCTGATAGGATGACATACACATTAATGAGAAGAATTGTTGACAGTCTGATCTTCATAAAGATGGTCGAGACGATTAATCAGTCAAGATACCCCATTCATCCTCTCATCAATTAGCTCGAGTCATCCCATATTCTAGCCTAAGTCAAGATGAACGCTCCAAGATGAAACATCCCTTCTCTTATCACCACGATAAGAACAAACCTCCCAGCGCTAACAAAAAAAAGACTCGCGTCTAGACTCTCCCCTCCAACCATAAAAGTAGCAGGTCCCGTTGCAAGGGGCGCAACCTCAAACGGCCTCGCTTACCGAACTTTTTAGTGGCTTACCATTCAGGGCACGATGACACACTGAACCCAGGGGCCCAGGGGGGAAACATTATGGTTATGATTATACTTAAAGATAAGAATCACGGCAATCGGTACGATTTCAGTTAAGTGTCAATGGCGTTTGTTGTAATTATAGATACTGTCGAAACGGAAGTGATGCTCCGATATAAACGCTATCCTGTTTTGATTGCCAAAACACTGTTCAGTGTTTGATTCGGGTAGTTGGGGGTTTCTGAAGGAGGTCTGGACTTTTTAGTATGTCACTGGGCGGGTTTGCAAGTCTGTTCTGTTCTTGTCTTGTTGTCCGGGGGTTGGAATACTCAAATGCATGTGTCAATGGTATCCTGAGCTTATCGAATGGGTGACATTCTGCCGGGTACGGATCTTCCGATCGTCAGGAACGCATAGCCCAAGAGATCATGGAGGACGAAAAGTATCTACATACTACATAGAGGGTGGCTTACGATCGGCAATCTCTTGTGCCTGCATCCGCCGTCATTCGCGTCTCCGGGTTTGTTAGATCCGATCATGACCGCGCGTCATCCACGATTATCTTCAGAGTGCCATTGTTTATGGGCGTCTTGGATCATCTTGTCTTGACTGTTAAGATTGGCCGTTCTGCGAGACCACAACTTTTTGATCTGCAATTTTGCCAATTATGTGTATTAAGTAGAACTATAATGCATCGCGTGTAGATAACTGTTGTTGATTGAATAGTAGAGAATCCATAGGTTATACCCTACACCATACACTAATTTTCAACTCGCACTTGGCTTTTATTCTCGATCCTGAGTAACGCAGGCCAGACTTACCAAAGTCCAATTCAGATTTAACCAACACGCGCATAATTCTAATCGACCATAAATGGGAGTCGGTTTCCAGCGTAGGGCAGTGAAATACTTTGCATTCTGCCTTTGCTGGATGCGTCGGAACGCGACGCGTACTGAATCCCTAGTAGCAGGTCCCCAACGCAGATAAACAAACGCGATAATTCGCTCACATACCGTAACACGTCTTGCTGGACAGATATGACATACGCTGAAGCCGAAATACTGTCGCTTTCCTGCCGTTCAATCTGCCGCGACGTCTTGTGGTGATGATAAGCTTAATTTTGAGCGACTGAGACATCAAGAACCTTGTCGGTGTGGCTCAGTTGGTTAGAGCGTTGGTCTCATAGCACAAAGCTGATGATTTAATCACAGATTAGAGTAATCCAAAGGTCGAGAGTTCGAGCCTCTCCACCGACAACTCTTTCTTTTGCCTTTGCTAGTATTTGATTCATTTTTGATCAATGCGCAAATGACTTTCATCTCTTTTGCTGTTTGTCAGACGTTGATTGATCTATACTGTTGTCTCATTGTCGGGCTTGTTACTCTGTTTATTAATAGCTCCGCCAATCCCTCGTGTACCACGCTTAAACCTTGACGCGTGGATGTGTCTTGCAGGCGATAAACATGCCTGGGGCAAACTATTAATGCAGGCAGGGCCTTGTCCTGTGCGAAATGAGGAGGCGCTGGCAGTGAAGAAGAGAACGTTGGAACAAGCCGGCTAGGACCTGGAAATGGTAGCGATACATCAAAGGGGCGGGGACACTAACACTCGTCTGTCACAAATACGTAGTGCACTGTTAACGCATCTGTAGCCAGAGGTCACTTAGCGGAATTCCGGGTTGCCCCATGCGTACTCTCAATTCCGCGTTCACGACACCCCATGATACTAAACCTCAATCGTAAAAGGCGCGCTTTAAAGGCAGCCAGCGTCGCTTTTTAAGTTGTTGTCACATTCATCCTGTCTTTCATCCACCCACTCGCTACGATGCCGTCGCTTCAAACCCTCCCGCCAGAAGTTACTACCGCAATTCTCAAATACCTCAATCCATTCGACCTACTCTCCGTCCTCCAGACTTTCAACAAAGCACTATTCAGCGCAGCAGAAATAGCATTCAAGCCCTATAAAGAATGGACTCGCAACGCCCAGAAAATGGTAGCATTGTTTCCTCCCCGAAGCAGCCATAGCACCCGCCGTCTCTGCCCTTCATATCCATCTTACATCCCGCCGTTGGACCATGATAACGTCTCGGAGCGCGAGGAAATAGCCAGGAGGGATTATGAGGACCTTTCACTGGATCTTGAAGGTGGACCCTATATACGATGTTCCCCGCCTGATCTGATAACTTGGATGAAGCTCGACGGCTCATTCGAGTGGCTTGAACCTCTTGATGAGGATATGGCGGATGAGATGCTGCCACATACCGGAGTTGAAGGCGATCGGCCAGTAGCGCCAAAAGCTGACGTCGATGCTCTCGTCAAGCAAGTCAGCGATTTGGGCCTTGTGCTTCCTGTGGGCTTTGAGGCATTTGTCCGAAGCAACAGACTGCACCACCGTATTCCGAGCACTTCGGCCTGGTACTTCCGGCTCTCAAAGCCCATCAAATGTCCAGCTGCCATTGATGACGATCAAGGAGGTTACTTGATCCGCTTCCACTTCGACCAGCAGCACTGTGGTTTTGCATACCTGTATCTGAGCCCATCGGGAGGTCATTGCGTGTTGGTATCGACGGTTGATGTGTACGCATGCCTTAACGATGACGACGAAATCAATGGGGGGCAAGCGGATGGAGATAACGCTGTGGACGAGGGAGGAGATGCGTATGACGACAGCGAGCTTACAAAGGAATACTTCTCACTAGCTGGACTTTCATTCGAGGAGTATCTTGTGACGGTCTACTTTGAGGGACTGCTTAGTTTCGAGGCCGATAGCTTTAAGGGATTGGAGGATTTTGTTAAGCATGTTTATCGCTCGCCTAGAGAGGTTGAACATCTGCGCGAAACAAGTAAGTCGAGCAAAGAGTCTTGTAAGGACAATATGCTGATCAAGTCCAGATGAAGCAATTAAGGTGTTCCTCGATGCGCAGAAGTGGAAGGGTGTAGAGCATTACAGGCAAAGCATTAGCGATTAATCTCCCATCACTCTTTAGTAATCATGCAGGGACATCGCTGATGAACTTCAATCATTATATAAGCGGTTGGTGAATTTTAATACTCCAAGGGCAAGGTTACTATCATACAGGTTACAAGACTTTAACACTTTATCCTTGGACTCAGATGTGCATCAAAATCGGATGGGACTATTCCAACGTCTTTCTTAGCTTGTATTCGAAGTAAACCCAAGTTCGAATCCTCTAAATTGCAGTAGGAGTTTTATAGACCGCGTGCATACTGTTTTCGCCATTTTCGGTGCAGGATCGCCAACATGTGATAGTGAGTGCTGGTTGTGAATGTTGGTCAGTGGCTTGCTGATCATTTGCTACAAGTCTTCTTGTTGGTTGTTGGTTCTACCCCTACTTGCTGCCTGGCCAGGATGTTCCATGTTCCATCGAGCGGCTACATGAGCCGATTCTCTGTTCCAGAAGTGTAAAAAGTTGCTGAAACGCGGGCCGCATGGTTAGAAAGGCATTGATTGAGGTGCCTTGGCGGTTGCGGCGGCCATGGGGGTCGATGGCTGTGCAACCCTTACAGAAGCTGGAGATTTCATTGGAAAGACAACCAACAGATGTTTTAGAAGCATTCTAGTCACTAAGCACTAGCCTCTAAAATGGCAAGCTGTGCGATAATGGCGTTGGTTGTCGACTTGATCTTTTGTACATGCTAATGTTATATGTTCGAGTACACTTCATGCAGCCGCTGATGGACCAGCCTCAGCATGTTGGACGCAATGAGAATGACGGTAATAAAAAGCCATTATCCATTCGGTTTGCGTGCATATTGGAGAGTTGTATCATCCAGATTCCTCTTTCTTTTCCTGTTATTGTTGTCTACATTGTTTGAGTCTCTATTCACGATCCATAGGCTGGATTAGTCGTTGTCTGTATACAACGGCCCTCCCCCCTTCAACAATGGGCAACTCAACTATTTGTATGACTATATACATATTCAAAGGAAACCCAGTCGACGCTTGGTACAAGCGGCACGTTCTCATGTACTTCACGTCGCCCGTGAACAAGAACTTCCATGAGACCGTCCACGCTCAGCGCGACGATGAGCTGAAACCCTGGAGGGTCGACAGAATCCACAAGAAGGTCATCTGGGCCGATAGTGCGACGTACATCACCCACGTCAACGCTGGGGCCGTAAAAGTTCGGAAAGGTCACGAACTTGACCCGGTCAATGTCATGGCGGCCACTCCGCTGATCGGTCGAGATGCCGACTGGAATTGTCAGCATTTTCTCCTCGAGGGGCTTCAAGCGCTTGTTTCTCATGGATACCAGACACAAGAGTGGTATGACTGCGTTGAAGGGGATCTCATGGACAAACTGTTGGATACTAATGTTGCCTAGTTGGGGATAAAGAGAACTAGACCTGGTTTGTTGCGTACACCGTTAGATCTCCTGAGTGTTCCTTTGTAAGGTAGAAATTGCATATTGGATACGGGAGTGCTTGTACAGGTTGGCAGTCTAGTTAGAGCGCTTTGACTAAGATAATGAGACTATAAAGCAGACCAGTATGTACTCTAGATCATACCGTTCGTCAAACAGAGACGGAATGTGACTCCCAAGAGTTTTCCAATCTACATTATCCAGACCACGCAATGCAAACACATAATCCCAGTACACGGGGTACCACCCTGCCCACTCCCAGTCCAGAATAGCGACTATCCGACCGTTGCGTATCATGATGTTCCTCGACGAGATATCGCCATGTGTAAAGACGATGGGATAATCTGCACCAAGCTGCTTCGTCATCTGGGCCCAGTGTAATGACTGCTCCTCAATTCGTTTCGGAGGCCGAACAAGCCATTCCTGAAACGTTTCGAGACTTGTGAATGGGCCACCGGATCGAGTCATCATGCTCGGGATGACAGCGCCTTGTCCGTCGAAGCGACCGATGTAGAATCCCTTTAGGGCACGCAGTTGTCCCAGGTAGTCTTTCAGTTGGTCCAATATTGCAGTGCGCTCATGCGGTTCGAGGGATGGCCAGGCCTCTTTTAACGTCTGGCCCTCGATATACTCCAGCTCAATGCGATCCCAGTCGCTGCTGATGACCTCCGGGACAGGAATTGTTGTGTTTTCCTTAATGAACTGTAACACCAGCGCTTCATTTGGTTTGTCGTTAACGCCCATACCGTCAGGGTGAATCGCGTACTTGGTCACGGTATTGCCATGCCGGACAATATAGCGCTCGGTGCACTTGTATATCACTTCGCCTTCAGGATATGGTGCTGCTGTTCTTTGTGGCGGTGGAGAGTCGCCGTACATGGCGATCAGTTTATCCCGCCTCAGCATTTCTTGCAGTCGTTTTGACATTGCTTTTAAAGCTTGCGCAGGTCAGAAGTGATTTATGCGGTTAGAGATGGCGATTGTCAAAGGGGCAGAGTGAGTGAGGAGTGGAGTTTCGTAGAGGATTACAACCAACAGCAGAAAATCGGGTACTTTCCTGCTAAGTGAATTAAACGGGTTACGTGCAAACAGCTACAAATTCGTTTCTGTACTTAACGAGAATACAGTAGAGAAGGTCAGGTCAGTCCATGGTGTTAAAATGGAGTTATAAATTATAGATTTTCTCTGCAAAAAGGACAAAAAGAGTATTGACAAGACTGGGATTCGAACCCAGGCCCCTCTCGAGACTGCGAATCGTCACTGGTTTGAATCAAACCTGAACACAGCGCCTTAGACCGCTCGGCCATCTTGCCTCGTGATTGGATAGTACCCGGCTTCTAACACGAGTACATACTGCTGCATTAATGTGGCCAGGTAGGTAACTGCTGACATTGAGCATTACTTGTCTTTAATGGCTTGAAATATATAACGTGACTTTGAATTGAATAGCCTTACTAGACGTGAGCGCTTAGCATTTGCTTTAAGCTATGATGTTTAAATATCGTTTTATGCTTCTATCATGGTTGCTGGAGCATAACTGAAAGCTTATTTTCACATAGCAAACTTGTTTACACAAGGCCCGTGAGGACAAAGGCAATTATGGTCAATGAGATTGTCACTGAAGCATAGTAACCCGAGAGAAATTATCAGGGAGAGTAAGCACTAGCTCTATACTTTCTGTTCTCAAAATGCTGTGATGTTATGGATTATGGTCGAGTGTTGCCTAGAATTACCCTACAGTGAATGACAGGGAGTCGTGCTCGCGTTGTTTTCGTGTTTAAGCACTAACGCGAATCGCGCGCGATCACGCCCTCCCAATAAGACAATCACTACTTGCCTCTTTGCAAATTGCCAGAGCTACATTTCCACGCGTTTATTGCAGGTCACTTTTGCTCTGGCGTCTTGCTGAGAATGTGAATCATTTCGCTTACTCTAAACACATATGATCAACACGCGTCAAGATACGGTATGAGAATCAGATAAAATATATACAGGTACATAATACATAATGAAACATTCCTGTGCAACGCTGTTATACGCGTGCATAATCCAGCCATATTAGCCAAAGTCATGGGCCATATCGACCCAAGATGAGAAGAATAATTAAGAAATAATGTAAAGAAATCGCGCGCTTGATGTGATGATTATCACCGTATGCTCCATGATTGATCATACTCTCATAGAAGCAAGTGCTTCTGATTACATGCCAGATACAGCATCGACCTAAACACCAGGAGGAGTGAAGCCAGGAAGCTTGGGCCAGTTACCGAGCTCTCCAGGATCACCACCAATTCGGACCCAGATGGCATGCGAGGGAGTAGGTCCATCGAGCACAAACATCTGGTACCAAGAAGGAGGGCTGATGAAGGCATCAGGGGGGGCTGTCACGGTGCAAGTCTTGCCACTGCAGGAGAACTCAGGGAACAGGGTGCGTTGACCCATGCTGACACCGTGAGTAGCACCAACAGACGCCATGAGGGAAACACGCATGTTGGTAGCGCCCTCCTCGAGGTCAGAGGTGAGAGTGAAAGTGTAGCTCTCACCATAGACCCAATCGCGGTCAGAGAGGGTGAAGTTGGGCTGAGCAGCACCAGAAAGCAGGTAATCGGGCCAGAAGTACTCGATACGCTTTTCCTGAGGATGCTTGCCCTGATCCTGAGGGTCAGAACCAGAGACGAGGATCTTTCCGTTGCTGAGAAGAACAGCTTCAGAATGGTACATGCGGGCGATGGTAGTGTTGGCAAGGACGGTCATGCGCTGGCCGAGAGGCTCCTCGGGGTTGTACATGACAGCGTTGAGGTTGGAGTTATCAGCGAGACCGAAACCACCACGACCGACTTGGGCGCCACCAAGGATGAGGTAGCGGCCGTCAGGAAGGGCAACCATGTTGGGCATGACACGCTTGGAAGGCTACGAAAGTTAGTAGGTATACCAGAGAAGAGGGATGGAGGATGCTTACCATGCGCTCGATGACCCAGTCAGCATCAGGGGTATCAGGGGCCATGAGGACACAGTTGTCAAGAGCCTCATTGCCAGGCTCATGAGTAGTACCACCACAAATGAGAACCTCAACAGGGTCGGTGTAAGGAGCCTTCTGAGGTAGAACCATCATAGTACCCTGAAGAGGATAGTTACGACCAGTCAATGGGTTGTCAACCTGACCAGGCATATCAGGCAACTTCTTGATCGACTGGAAGTCGACTTGAGAAAGGATACGAGACTCATTGAACTGGGTGAAGAAGATACCACCGGAAGGCAGAATGGCCATGTGAGGGTACGAGTTGGTTCGACCAATGTTCTCAGCTCGCTCGAGGTAGTCGAGATAAGTCGACTTGGTTACACCAGCAGGGTGAGGCAGAACCTCAGCGGAGGGAACGATGGGAGCATCAGAACCAGACTCTCCACCCATAGCAAGAATGGAACCGTTGGAGAGAACAATAGCAGTGGGGTACCAACGGGGATCAAAGAGACGTAGCTGCGTGTAGTCCTCTTCCCAGACGTTGGTACCATTGTCGACTCCTTGGGGTGAATCAGGAGTGAAGAAGCGAATACCATAGACGGACTCAGCCGACCATCCACCAATGTTGATGATACGACCAGCCTTATCAGGAAGTGTAAAGGAAGCAGAGCAGAAGACATCAGTCTTGAGAGCAAGTTCACGGTACTTGTTGGTAGAGTAGTCAAACTCAAACGAGCCCTCCGTATCATCCATAGACGTACCATGCTTCTCCACAAAGACAACCTTGTCGTTGATGCCGACAGAGCTGATGAGCGGGATGATGGGGGAGGTGGAGAAGTGATCATACCTACCCGCCGCAGGCCCAGAAGCGTAGTGGAACGTGTTGAGCGACGTGCCCGTCCACTCGTAGTAGCTGATGTGATTGCCCGCGCCGCACGTGTAGTTGCGATTGCCGGGACAGGCCATGCTGCAGTAGCTATCATCCTTCCAGATATCGCCTTTAGCCTCAACTGCCTTGAGATCGCCACAGACGCACTGGCGGCCGTATTCTACACCACCAGCGGAGTAGCCGAACTTCTGGCAGCGCTTGAGGCACGTTGGGACGGTCATGTTGCTGGTGGCGTAGCTGCCCGAGTCTTCGTACAGCCACTCGAGTACATATGGGTTGTTGTTGTCAAAGACACAGCCCTTGTACTCCCAGTCTCCAGGGAGGTCATCTTCTTGGGCGACGGGAATGGGGTACACTTCAAAGTCACCGCTGGAGTAGAGAGAAAGACGATTACCGGCACCGCACATCTGGCTGTCATCGCCCTTGCAGGCCATGTTGCAGTCAGACTCTTTGGTCTTGGACGCAGCATTGTTGAGGGCGTTGCCGCAGTAACACTCCTCAGCGTACTCGAGACCAGCGATTTTGAAGCCGTTCTCGATGCAGGTGGCGATACACTTCTGAGGTGTCTGGGAAGAGGAAGTGCCGAAAGGGGAAAGGGCACGGCCGGGAGGGTCAATGTAGCAACCGGCGTAGGACCAGTCGTCAGGAAGATCAGTGGCGATGGGGCCGGTAGTAGCGGTTGCAGTGCCAGTGGCAGAAGCAGTCTCTGATGGTTCACCGGAGGGCACAGCGGTACCTCCGGCAGAAGACTTGCCAAAGACAGTGAGTCTATCACCAGCTCCACAAGGCTGATCGGCATCGCCAGTGCAGGCCATGCTACAATCGGCCTCGGGAGCTTTGGTAGTAGGCCTCTTGCTACCGCAGACTGAAACAGTCAATCACCATTCACAGACAATTCACTTATCGGAGGACTTCACTTACAGCACTCCTGAGCATACTCCATGCCAGCGAACGCGTAGCCAAGGCCTACGCAATGGGCAACGCACGTCTCAGCGGTCAGACCCTCAGTGTCATAGTGCACAGGCCCATCGAGCGCACGCTTCGAGACGCTGTCGACATAGCACCCCAGGTACTCCCAGCCGTCTCTGGGGGCTTCAGGCGGTGTCAGATCCCTGCGGACGATGACACTCGCCGCGGAGGAGGAGGGCAAGTGAAGGAACGCTGCACCGAGTGCAGCAAGACGCAAGAGTGACATGGTGAAAACAAGGCAGCGAAGCGGCGTATAACGAGAGACTGGTGTAAACAAAAAAAGAACGAGTGTGAATTGGGTTTCCAAGGATTAATTCCCATGCAGAGACATAGAACACAATGCACAAGTGAGATTGCGGCACCTTGACGTTATATCACTTGAGACGGCCGCTGGATGATAGCGGAATATTCTCAGGTATATCACCTGCCCACATCCCTTTTCCTTTCCGCTTGAAGTCTTACCCCCTAAGGGTATCTCGTGTTCATTAGCTTACTGTCAGACCATTTTTCTCGCTATTGCTTTGTGACCAAGAGCAATAAGATGCTGACTGCTAAGACGAGAAACCACATGCAAAAAGAGTCAAGCAACGGTGGGTGCTGCAACGGAGCTGAAAACAAGTTGCATATGCACGTCTACGGGCGCGTCGAGGATGGCCTTGTGATTAGGAATATTGGATACAATCAGGCCAGTCTGCACCCACGGGGTCTAGATTGCCGAGCCAGACTTGGCAAGAAGCCGAGATAACCTTGGCAGAAAGAGGTCAAGTCAGACATAATAATGGGAGGAGGCTGCCAGCGCATCCACAAAGTCTGACTCTTTTGATCGACAGGGTCAGGGCCAACAGATCGAAAAGCGGCTGACAGTGGACGTCTGCTCCATACGTTTGCTTTCGTCTAATCTCCTCGATCTGGTGTGGCTTGCGGTAGAAAAGAATGGGCCGAAGCCCCTGCTGTGCACACCTCGTTCTTTATCTTGGCGACCCTCCGAGATGCTTGAAGTGGACGTGCCGATGCAACGCTGTTCCACTAACCGAGGACTAATAATGTAACCCCCCATTGACTCTTGGGCCTCTTGGCTACAGCGTTCCAAGAGTGTAAACACGAGAACGCAATCAAAAGTTCTGCTGCAGAGACAAGGGGCGAAGACGCTGCATTTTCTTAGCTGCAGCGTTATCAGACTTTTTCTCCAGCGCGTAGCCATTTCGCTTGGCGGATATGAGCCAATATTTCGTGTGATGTTCTTGTAGTGGTTGTTTCTGATTTTAGTGATTGTTAGCGCCTGCGACAGTGCACTACCTAAAGCCGACGCTAAACCGGAGATTTTCGCCTTGTGAATCAATATTTGCTTCGCTCTATGAACTATATGCCCGTTCACATATACACTTCACATCAGTGGCTTGATGACCCGAGCGCCCATTACCGCGTGGCTTATGATGGTGAGATTTATCCGTTTATCGCATATTATACCATTGGGTTAATTCATCCGCTCCCTAATGCACGCAGCCAGCATTTTCAGGGGCCATGTAAGCACGGCCTGCACGAGCGTATCTGGAACTCTATCCGATGCTGATCCCGAGATCGAGAGAGACCACGTTTGAGATAAAATAGAAGTGATAGATAACGAGTTTTCGCGATACATCTAAAGTGAGAATTTAGACCCAAACGATCCCCCGGTTCGATGTAAGATTATAGGTCGAACGCAAAAGCATGAAAAAAGATAGCAAACTATAGACATTATTCCGTAGATTATAGCATGACAACACGTGTCGGCGATGCAACCACTTAGCATGCCCCCTCCTGCCACATCCTAACCGACTTGACAATCATACCGCGATCCTTGACGGGCCCCCAGGTCGGAAGCCATGTATCATTCGCCTTCCAAAAGTCACGCATAGGGGTCTCGCTGCTATCAGCCCAGGGCTTATCACCGATTGCATCTCTGTAAAAGAGTGGATTGGTTAGCCGAGACATTGTCTTCCCCGCACGTAAACGAGAGATCGTGAGCGAGATCAAAAAGTGGTTCTCGGTGTAGGGCAAATTGGGGAGAGTGAGACTTACGGGAACCAGCCGTTGGTACCGCCGACTGCGACGTTGAGGATGAGGTAGAAGGACTCATCGAATGGAGTGTTTTTGCGACCGGTGCTGCTCCATGGATCAACGGGGATGGAGCCGTTGATGGACTCGCCGGCGAATTCACCGTAGGTCCAGAGATTCTTGTTCTTGGTGAAGTCAAAGAATTGCACTTGCTGCGAAGAGTCAGTATCGTCAATTCGATGAGATTGGTGAGCTGACTTACTCTCAATCGACCGTCGAGCCAGGTAAAGAGATACTTCTCACTCCACTCAAGACCGTAGATGTGAAAGTCCTCAGAGTAAATGGTTCTCTTACCTCCCCATTCACCATACGCTCTCCTCCATCGATCATTCTCCGTAGCAGTACCCCAATGAAGCGCCGACGACACAAGATTATTCCCCATGGGATACTTCCTCGCGTCATTGCCTCTGCTCTCCGCAATGTCAATCTCACCTGACTTGGGCCACTCACCGTAGACATCATCCTGCGGCATCATCCAGATGGCAGGCCACATCCAATCACCCTTTGGCATGCGCGCAGTGACTTCAACGCGACCGTACTTGATAGTCTTTTTACCCTTTGTATTGAGACGAGCGGAGCGCACAGGGTTGATGATTTGGCCGAGGGTGGCGTTGCTGCGTGCTGCGCAGGGCCAGCGGTCGTTGGACTTCTTGATGTCTTTGGCGGTGCATTTTCCCCATGTTTTGCTGTTTGTAGTCATGTTGACGGTGAAGCCGTTGAGGAGCTGGTCGCGGGTTATGTCTGTGCTTTCGAGCGTCATTGTAGGGACGATGTGAAGGCCTTGAGCGTCGACGTATGAGTTTGCTTCATCGTCTGTTGTCCAGTCAAAGGCGCCGTTTCTAAAATTATTAGTAGGTGATTGCGAAAATGATGAAAGACGTACCCGAAGCCGTTCATTTGAACTTCATGATTCCAATTGTTGAGGTTCTGGAAGGTATCGTCCATGACGAGGCAGTACTGCAATTGTTAGTGGTGATCGGTGATCGCCTCACTAAGTGAATCGTCTTAGTGAATGGAGACTAACCTCATGGTTGGGGACGCCGGTGGTCTCTTTCCAGCAGAGATAACCACCAATTCCTGAAAATATGTTAATAATTGGAGACTTGTTACAATGAACGAACTTACCAAGACCGATGAAAATGCATGTGTAGAAAATGGTGCTGTCCCAATTCCACTGCTTCTTCTTGTCCTCTAACCAAGGCTTCTCAAACTCGCCCTGAAGACGACTGCTCTTGAAGCGCCGACGCGGACCAGTAACTAAAACCGTCAATCTTCACACAATAATACTTGAAAAGTGTACTCACTCTCATAAGAAGATGCATTTCTCTGCGTCAACCGTCGCGAAGCAACAGATTCCGCAATAGGCGTCGCTGCAATGGGCGTCGCAAACGGATTCTCAGTAGACTCAGCTCCAGGCGTCGCGAACGGATTAACCCGCTGAGACGAAGAGTCCTCAGCGGTCGTAGCAGTCCTCGAGCCTTCCATTACAGCGCGTCAAAAAAGTGGAGTACGCCAATGTTTGAAAAGGGAAAAAAAGAGACCAGGGAATCATGTACGAGGAGGGTGATTCAATTGTTTAGTTAAATGAGCCTCATGAAACTTTTATTTTCTCTTTGCCATTATCCCGAATCTGATACAGCTGAGACTGAAGAGTCTGTGTCTGTTTACTACGATACGATACGAGTACCAAGACGAAGGCGATGCAGGGATCGTTACATCTGGGTCTGGAACCAAAGAGTAAGCTCATTTCTTCTGGGGTGATTATGCATCTCGTCCTGATACCAGCCGCGCTGAAATGCACGTACAGCGTGGCAATCATGAGCAACAAATTCTAAATCTGTTGAGACATAACAACATCTCCAAAGGTTCTCACGTCTTTGAGCACTAGTCTAGCAACGTTGATATCTCTCCGAGCGCTAGGAGATAACATTGTGTCATGCCAAAACGCCACATTTGGTGTCTTAGAGTCATGATTCGTAGACTTGTCAATAAGGCTCTGCGGGCCGCAAGCCTCAACGGTGAAACTAACAAGAACCTTCCGCAACGGTCTTAAGTGGTCCGTTTGCGAAGACAGGTTTTTCACCCATGCGATGCTACCCCCCCTACAACATGCCGCTAGACATCAAAGCGGAAGCTAGATCGTCTGCCCCTAGAACAACATCCATGGAAGCCAAACGTTAAAACCCTGGCACCCCTGCTAAGATTTACAGGGGACGGGACGTTATCAAGATTTTTTAACCATCCTTCGAGATTAACCGCCCTCCCCCTTCGCTAACGGGTTACGGCCCGCGGATAACGCTATTCCCTAAACATGAGCACCCTCTGTTGCTATCTTGGCCCTGAAACGTGCCTTTGCTTACACGTTACAATCTCCAAGAGTTGATCACTGCTTCTCATTGGATCCTCGGCCTCGCGATATCAGGATGGCTAACCTTATTTTCTAATATTAGACTTAACTTTTGACTTGTCTTGTTCTTGTCTTGGGTGGCGCCGGAGAAAAAATCGCAGGCTAGTTTAATTAGACGCCGCACTGATACATGACGCTTCTGCGACCTTGCTCGTAAAAGCATCTGGATATTATCCACTCTCCCCGTTGCCCCTGGCCTCTGATATCGTGGCCCACGGGCTTGTCATAATCACAGGCCCCGTCGTCAGCTTCACTCTGTAACATAGAGTTTTCTGTTTTTCTCCTTTCTTATCACGGTGGCGGGTACCGTATCCTGTTGCTCGGTCGTGGATGACTTGGCATCAGCTCGCTAGAGGTGATTCAAACGGAGTCTTCTCGGGCCCGGGCGATGGGCGAAGGGGGGCTGGTCTTTAGATTCTGCAGCAACGGACAAGGTGCATGAGGGTTTTGTGTTACGTGCTGGCAATCAGGAAATGCATGGTCCCAACAAACGTGCTTCGAAAGATACGAGGATAATGGGCCAGCTGAAAAAACAAAAAAAACCAATATTGTGTTTGCACTTGCAGTTGCAGTTCTTGATCGGGTCAGATTATTGTCTGACGCTTACAGGAGATTCGAGACTCGAGACCTACAGCGTAGGTTTCATCTAGATCGCCGGATAAGCCGTGTGTAGGAAGTATTCATAACTTAGTTTTCCCACGGCTAATTCTCTCTGCCTCTACCTCCTCCTCACCTTGGGCAACATCAACATCCCTTCTTCTTCTACCACTCCCCTCCCCACCCTCTTCCCCTGTAGGAGCAGAGAAGATCTTCACCTTCGCTTTTCCCCCTTCACTCTCGTTTCCTTCCCTCTGTTCCGTGAGAGAGAGACAACTCCCACGTGAACCATGACTTCCGAAAAGTCACCAATGGCTTCGGAAAAGTCTGCCTCTCGCTTCATAGAGTCTGGTGTTCTCCAACCGCCCAGTCCTACTACTGATGCTGCTACGCTCAAGAGGCTTGAGGCTGGTGATCATGGTGCGGTCAAGACGACGGAGTATTTCACGAGGAAGAGTCCCCCGTCGAGATCCGCTCACAGCTCATATTCGGGTACGCCTGCTGCAATGCAGATTCCCGACGCCGCGGCTGCGGATCTGCCTGTTGTAAGTTTTTTGCTGTCCATTTGAGTGGATTTGTTTCATATCATCAACGTCGATTTCATCCCTTGCATACCGATCCTACTTATCCCGATTCATTCATGTAGTGGCACGGTAAACATCGTGCTGCCCGCTGCCCGCAGCCTGCAATGCATCATTGTTGTCACAATGCTAACACAATTAGGTCGCGAGGTATATCGCTCGTCGCGCAACACTTCTAGGATGGTTCGATGAGCCTGCTGCTACTGCCATCACAAGCGGCTGGTCATCAACATGCATTGCCCTCAAGAAGCCTGATGGCACATACATCTACAACCCAGATGACCCCAGCCCAGTCTTGGCCGCTGCTGTCAATCGCCTCAATGAGAGCGCCATTGTGTCGATGGCCTCTGAGGTCACCAACTCAGTGCTTGACAGCATCAAGCCTGGACAGGCGAGTCTGGTGAATGAAGACACTGGCGCTCGCATCCCCATCATTCCCAGTCTTGCAGATGTCCATGAGACACTTGTGCACTTGACAAGTTCATGCATTGTCGTACAAGAACGATGTGTACTCATCTGGGCTCATGAGGCAAGGACTGTCCTTACAGTGGCTCATAATGTCGAGAAGCAGATGCTCGGATTCGTAAGCATACCTCTCCTTCAACAGTGAATTCTCTAACATCTGTCGCAGATCGTTGGTCCCAACATGCCTCGTGGTCTTCACGCCCAAACAGAAGATCAATCCGTCAATGGTATGCCAACTCCCGTCCGCGGTGCCATTGATGAGAGAAATGAGATTTACCAAGCCGCCATCAAGGTTGAGGAGGGCGGTGAAGGAGATGAAGACGTCGAGGGCCAGGAGCTCAAGCGTCCGACTCTTCTTGTTCACTCGTTCCGAATTGGTATTGTTATCATGCTGGTCATTCTCACGCAGAGCGTGGGTGTTTCAAGAGTGAGTTATACAATGAGATGAGTGATGAATGACGACTGACAGTGAGTAGTTGATCCGACAATGGTCTTGGGATGGCGATTTTACGCGCTTTGCCCTGGTTGCTGTCATTCCGCCTCTGTGCGTTCTGTCATTGGTAAGATTTGCAGCTTCAATTGGAAATGAACGGTTTGCTGACCATGTCTAGTTCTTCTTCATTGTTGTCATCAGCAGTGTCTTCCAACTACTTCTACCGGCTGGTATCTGTTTGAGGAACTCCAAATTCCATTCTGGTAAGTCCTTCAGTCGCGCGACGTACATCAAGTCTGACATTCGCAACAGCCATCAAGCCCAACCCCAAGCGTTACAGGGACTACCAACTTCCCCACATCACCGTTCAGATGCCTGTCTACAAAGAGGGTCTCCGAGGGTAAGCTCAATATCTCCTCAACTGGTCATCTCGCTCTGACTAACTCCCCAGTGTCATCGTCCCTACCATGGTCTCCGTAATGGCAGCAATCCAACACTACGAAAACCAAGGCGGCACCGCCTCAGTCTACATCAACGACGACGGCATGCAATGCATCCAACCCGAGCTCGCCGCCGCCCGCAAGCAATACTACCGCGAAAACGGCATCGGCTACTGCGCCCGCCTGCCCAACAAGAAATCCCCCAAGTCCAAGTCCTTCTCCTGGTTCAAACGCTCACCCCCCGTGGACCCTGAAGTCGACAACCAAGACGAATCAGAAGTCAGTCCTCAAGGCCGCGCCAACGAACTCGGTTTCGTGCGCAAGGGAAAGTTTAAGAAGGCTAGTAACATGAATTATTGTCTTGCTTTCTCGAATAGAGTTGAAGATGAGATGTTGAGGCTTACGGAGCTGGAGTGTGAGAGTAGAGGGTGTGCGTATGAGGATTTGAGTGCGGAGGATGATGATCGGTTGTATGACCAGGCGTTGCAGAATATGGTTGATGCTGATGAGGGGAAGACTTGGGCGGAGGGGAATATCCGCATGGGTGAGATCATTCTTCTCATTGACTGCGACACCCGTGTCCCCATCGATTGTCTTCTCTACGGCGCTCTTGAGATGTATGAATCTCCTGAAGTCGCTATCCTCCAGCACGGCTCAGGCGTTATGCAAGTTGCGCACAACATCTTTGAGAACGGTATCACCTACTTCACCGACATTGTGTACACAGCTATCAAGTATGGTGTTGGCACTGGCGATGTCGCGCCGTTTGTTGGTCACAATGCGTTCTTGAGATGGAAGGCTATTCAGAGTGTTGCCTTTGTTGATCCCTCGGACAAGGTCACTAAGTGGTGGTCTGACTCGCATGTGTCTGAGGACTTTGATATCAGTTTGAGAGTGCAGATGGCTGGTATGGTATGTCGATTGGCGACGTATCATAATGGTGGCTTCCAGGAAGGTGTGTCGTTGACGGTTTATGATGAGCTGAACAGATGGGAGAAGTATGCTTATGGTTGCAACGAGCTTGTCTTCCATCCTTTGTAAGTCTGACGTCCGCCATTGGTTCACGATGTTTACTGACTCTTTCTCAGCTACAAGTGGCCTTACAAGGGTCCTGTTACTCGACTCTTCCTCCGCTTCCTCTGGAGCAACATGCCAGTTACCAGCAAGGTTTCCATTCTGGCCTACATTTTCACCTGTAAGTCCTCAAGCATCACTTCACTTTGGTATCCTTCTGATCATTGTATAGACTACGCCATCGCTGCTGGTATGCTCCTCACTCTGGTCAACTACGTCCTCGTCGGTCTCTTCTTCCAAGACCTCGACCAATTCTACACTCCATCATGGGGTATCTGGGTCTCCCTCCTCGTCGTCTTCAACGGCGTCGCCTCCATTGCGACAAGCATGACCCGTCACCGTCTCAAAGAAAAGTCCTTCTGGGTCGCCATCCTCGAAGCCTGCAAGTGGCTTCCCTTTCTTCTCCTCTTCTTTGGTGGTATCAGTATCAACTGTGCCAAGGCTCTTCTCTGCCATGCCTTCTCCGTCAACATTGAGTGGGCGTCGACATCCAAGGAGCTGGGTCCTACAGGTATCTACATCGGATTGAACAAAATGATGCACCGATTCAAATGGACTTTCCTTATCTGCATTGTTCTTGCGGCTGGTATGATGTACATGGCTTTTGGTGCGCCTTGGGGCTGGACTATTGCTCCTGGAAAGTTCTCTGCTGGTACTTATGCTATTGTGCCTTTGGCTGTACAGGTCTCTTGCGCGTTTGCTCTGCCGCTTTTCCTCGGCTTGACTTAATTGAGTATATATGAATGGAAGTATGGATGGGTTATGGTAACGACTTTAGATATACGAACTAGTTAGCTTAATAGATTTGTCGTCAAACATGTCGACTTGGTAATGCAGATTCTGTGCCATTATTCAATTGCTTAAGCGAGACGTGCCTATGCATATACCACTGCTCAGTCTTCTGCAAATGGGACGACTTCGACTTTGTGGGTTGCGATAGTGCTGTCACGATGCATCAAGAAGAAGCGTAATTGGTTTAGTGGTAAAATTCTCCGTTGCCATTCGAGTAACGTCGGGGAGCCCAGGGTTCGATTCCCTGATTACGCATTGATAACGACGTCTGAGACGTTCCAACTCTTTTGTCGGTGTTTCCTTTTTGCTTTTGTTGTTGATTTCTGGTGTTGTTGGCGATGGTTGCTTTGTACTATGTGCTGATTGTGTTGTGGCTGGTTGCTTCTACCTTGACATTCCTTTTTACCTACGGCCCCTCCCTCTTAAATAAGCAATAGCATAAGGGGTATAGGACATGATACAGTCTGTATTATGTACTGCCGCTTTTTCAACCTGTCCCTGGCCTTTATTGCTCTCTTTGGTATGTTCTCGTATATGTAATTTGTTCACGCCTTGTCTTTTAGCAGTATGTCACAGATACATTGAACTCTTTGAGCCAGTGCAAATCTTGCTCTACTATCCCTTGAACGGAGATGCCAACGTATTACATATCACCACTGAGAGTCTCTTGTTGGGCTAGGAACTCAAGAGGCTCCAGGCTGGAGAACATCCTTTTCTAGCGGCCACCCGGATTGGCCTTACTATCTACAGCGAAGTCCCGCCAGGCGCATTTAAATGCTTGTTGAGCGTGGTCAACATGCTGATTGGATCCATGGTCGAACCCAATGGCCTGTAAGAAGGGTGTCTTTTCAGATTCAATGGTATAAACTCGACATCCCGATGCCTATATATCCCATTAACTAGCAAGCCAGTTTAACCACAGACATATCAAAGAACCACTTCTATAAGCTATCAAACTAGCTTGAACCAGTTATTTCAGAGGCACCAACCATGAGAGAAGAGAGCTGGTATCTCTTCTCCCCTCTGCTGTATGCTCCTGACGGAATGACAGGTATGGCTTTTCTCATGCAGGTAGAATATGCGAATATCGCTATGACGACTGACAGCTAGACACGTGGCTACAAGATCGCTTCTTCTTCTTGAACTTTGGAGTATGGCAAGCCCTGATATTCCATTTGGGCTAGGAGATGAAGAATTTGGGGGCCAATTTGTTTTTACTGGCCCGATAAACAACCACTATCGTTAATCGTCAGCATGCAGAATGACGTAAAAGCCATAAATGCGCAGCATATATAGAGCTGGGTCTGGCTGTCTGTTCTTGATTACTCTACGACATTATAGATAAAAGTCTTACTGCTAAATCTATACATTTCCCGCTTTTCCAAAGTCAGTAAATTTCTCCTTAAAAACCCCAGGTTAGCCCTAAAGTTCTCTCTATATCTGCTACCAAGGGTGACAAAGTCTTGCTGACACTGTACTATGAAAGTCTCGCTATGTCTTTTCGACCGCATCCATTGCCCTTTACTAGCAAAGACCCCAGAATGAACGACGCAACGGGGGAGGGAGAGGCTGCGATTAGTGACCCGTGTCTTTTCCCGTGCTATGTCGCCTCGGAACCAGCATATGCTCTTGCGAGAAAAATCAAAGAGAAGAAGCATAAGAGAGACGAAGCTAAAGCGGCTGAGAAGAAGCTGGTTGACGAGGAAAGCACTAAAGGAAAGGAATAGCTTATAGCAGGAGTAAATGTGCTTTAGTATGACATGTTTAATTTACATATAATTGTTGTCTTCAAGAAGTGAGGGAGAGGAGCAAGCAACCTTAAAAGTCTATGGTAAGTTTCTGGCATATATCAAAACAGGGAATTACTGAAACATGTAAGATATGACGTGTGAGACCTCTGCATCGAGCTTGGGCCAATCTGCAACCCCGCTTTCTTGCGCGACTTGAGTCAAGAGATATACAAAGACTAATTCGCGTCGACTCAAATGTCGCGTAAGTAAACGTATCTTGCCTCTGCCCTTAGTAACTTATAAATAGTATATGCCTACCAGTCCGCATTATATGAATAAGGGCCCCCAGCCGAGTACATCATTCTTGGTCTTCAGACCCAACAGGCCTCAGTGTCATTTTGTCACCGTGATAGGTATATATAGCCTTATGGTTGAAGAAGCACCCTCCCCCAGGTGCAAGATCAAATTTTTTATCGACACTCAGTGACAGCACGTTGGCCTCGGCCGCCCCTGGACCCTTGACACAATAATGTCTTACGCAGCATCATTAGGGTAGTACAGCCAGTCAGTAAACTACCAGATCTCTACTGTTTCCGCAGTTTTGCCTTTCACCCTTATGTATCGCGACAAGGTCCTCGCGCTTGATAACCCGCTGACATAACACGTACCGACGAGGACATAGTGGTTGTCAACCCGTCTAAGAACTGCCGGTTGATCAGCTCCATTTAGCCAGCACACCAAGTCTCCAGTTACGGTATGGAGCGGAAACACTCCAACATATCCATTCTGCGTTTCTGACAGCAGCTGCTGCATGAAAAAAACGTCGTTTCCAATTTCGATGAGAGTCTCATCCCAGTCAGATACCTTGTGTGTTTTATTAATATTTGTAGAGGTAAACAAGCTATCGGACTTACGTTGAGATCTGTTAACAGTGCATACAGATATTTCAATCTGTTGCCTTTCAGTTGACTTTCTTCCGGGATTTCGGTATTGCTTTCTGTAATCAAGTGATGCATCAACATTCTAGCAAAGCTGATGTGGTCTTGAAACATCATATCTGTCGTTATGTCGGACTCTTCATTGTCTTTATGCCTCCCAATGGTCCCATACCGCAGTGCAGTATACAGCCCTTCGAGAGGATGGCACCCCGTTGGGTACTTATCTCGGCCCATTATATATTCCATTGTCCACGATACGGCATGTACCGCTTCTTTGGAAGTACTATTGCGGTAAAGTTCGGCAAAGTGGCTTCGCAGCGGGCCACCTGCTACTATCTCGTCAAGGAGGATACCCGAAACCAGTAGTTTGCTTCCCATTATTTCAGCTTTTTGCATCCCACCAAATATCTCATCCAGGTCTCGTCCGTTTTGCAGGAACGTTTGGATTGGATGCCCAACCTTGTCAAAGTCCTTCAAATGGGTCATCCCTGGATAGTTGGGTGCCCAGGATGGAGTATCAGGGTACATAAACCATCCATGCCCAATACCCGCATCGGTCAGCGGCATGAGCTCTCCTCTTTCAATTTCGACGTGGCCAGATCCTTGCCGATGAGCTTTCAAATACTCTGTCAGGAAATCAACAGATACGTGACCAATTGACTTAGATTGCCGATAGTCAGGCACAAGGCCAAGAGGGCAGATACCAAGGAAGCCATAAAAATGGTCTTTGGGGTTGGTAGCCCTGAGCGCACTTGAGTGGCCCCAGTTGTGAGTGGCTTTCATGTTTATGTTTCCTCTGACTGAGATGCCCATTGTATCATCCAATATTTCTAGGCTCCTCACCTCTGCTCTGCTTGAAGCCAACTGTCTCAGATGACCAAGATAGTGCTTATAAAGACGTTTTAGAAAGCTCCATTGCTCTTGCAGCACAAAATGTGGCCGCTGTTCAGGAACGGCGTTGAGCAGCCTAAAGGCCCAGCAAAGAACTGAATGGAGAGACGACCAAGACATGGAGCGGTCCCCGCAGGCAAATATAGGTCGGCTGGCAAGAACCATCTCCTGGAAAGTCCATACTCGCAACCAGTATGATTCAGCCAACATCATCACCATGAAATAGGTGCCAGTCTCAGTCCAAACGGTACCTGGAATTTCCTGATAGAGGAATGTATGATCTTCTAGCCATTGAAAATTCGCGGTATTTCGAACCGATAGAACTTCCTTCTCTAGCCTCTCTGTAAGGTCTTGAAATCGTGGAACCGCACCCTCCGACTCATCTATTTTCGTGATTATGTCCCGTAGAGTTCGCGTCAGACGGGCGGCAAGTTCTCCAGTAATAAGAGGCAGATATTCCTCTGTTTCGTCAATTATGCGTAGATACATTGTACAGAGGTACTCGTGGAACGTTTCGATCTTCAGGGACAAGAGCCTCAATTTTGAAGACCATGACAAATGATTAGACCTTATGCGTCCCGGAGTTCTCAGCACGCTAGCAATGCCATCGCTTGCATCATGTATGCATTTTGTCGGCCATGCATTCCACGATCGGGCTAGTATCTCAAACAGAATACTCGCGTCGCTTGTATTCACAGTCTCCAACTCATTTGTAGCTTCGTCGACGACAGAGCCAAGCATGTCAAGTTCTGTACCGAGAGAATCTGCCACCTGGCAAAGTGTGGCATCCAACAGAGGGTCCTTGCGGTCAGCTCCATGAATGCTGCGGTTATAGGCTATGGTTTGGACAGCTTCCATTCCTCGCATGACTGTTTCAGAGGGCAACCCAAGCCAGCAGAGTACGACGTCGGCCAGAGAATATATGTCACCCATCAAAGGAACTTGGTGGTTCTTTTCTTCTTCACTCTTCTGGTTGATGCATATCGCATCTGCCCAAATTCTCAGTCTTCCCTCAGTAGACTCTAGATGTTTGGGGGCGTATCTTAGGGCGTTTGCTAGATTTTCCGTGACTTGTATGGAGTGGCCATTGACAGTGATGGCCTCGGTAACTCCAGGGTTACCCCATTCATAAGAAAGCGCGTGGAAATGCAATGACTGATCCAAATCTACTACTTCCAGACGGCATTCTGTGTCTGGCTCTGTAGAACAAATGTCAAGTAGACGAATCTGACGTCTGTAAATGTTGAGGTTATCATATAAAGAAGAGCTTGGCAACAAAGCCATGATAACCAACGTCAGGGCTAATGAGAGAAATACAGTATAAAAGTTTAAGAAATATTCAAATTGGGAATTTATCGAGGAAGATAGTGGTGTCAAAAGTAAGGGAAAGCATTGTGAATTATAGATTAAGCTTTGAGTGTTTAAGACTGCCTTGTGAGGAAGCCTTGACTAAATGGTGGTGGCGAAGTGCATAAAAGCCAGTAAATGGAAAAATGGCTTAAAGATTAGAAGTTCTAATCCATATTAATGTCTCAGAAGTGCTGCTATAATAAATTAAATATATTAATAAGTATTATCAAGGTAGCTTTAAACTAACTTAACCTGTGACTCAGTTTCTTAATTATTAAATGTTTCATGCTTGAGGCTAAGCAACTTCAGAGATAAGATAAAAAAGGTCAAATTGAGATCATTTTGGTAGGTGTGGCGTGTTAATTACGAAACGGGTGGAGAAGGGCGACAAAATATATATCGCTTGACGAAATACACACTCAGTGACTTACCAGAGTCGGAGATGTCTGAGCTCGCACTCGCTCTCGTCAGCGCTAACAAAAAGTCCGTTGGACACAGCTAAAGTCCGATCGCTCAGGAGGCCAAAACTCCGTTTTGATTGGAACCTTTTTTGTTGAGCGTGACTTGGCGACTTGGAATTATAACAATCTTACATCTTCCCCAGATTCAATCTCATCTCATTCTTTTTCCTTTCTTTAAGTTCTTGCTATTCATTATCGGGAATCGAACATGGAGTCTTTCAAAGTTATTGTTGTTGGCGCTGGGCCAGTCGGCATGGTCCTGGCTCACGCGCTGCAGGTCTCTGGCATCGACTACGTCCTCGTTGAACAGCGCTCCCAAATTCCTCCTGATCCTGCTTACGGGTTGTTTTTGTGGCCTCATATTATGCGAATATTTCATCAATTAGGCATTCTTGAAGCCGTCACAGCTGTCGCGCAGCCTATGGTTGAAGCTGTTCATAGATCAATTGACGGTAGTGTTATTCATCGCTCCAGAGGTTTTGAAGAGCTCGGTGCATTGTGAGTATGGGATTATATACTACTGGATATGTCACTGATTACTGGAAGGTTCGGATATCCTATGGCTATTTTTAACAGAGGTGATTTTGCCTCGGCGTTGATGAGCGAGCTTGAAAACAAGGACCAACGCGTCAAAACAAACAAGCGCCTCACCAACGTCATACACCGCGACAACGGTGTAACAGTCGAATTCGCAGACGGTACCACAGAAGAGGGATCAATCGTTATTGGCTGCGACGGTGTCTGGAGTAGTGTCCGCGATCAAATGAAAGCAAAGGCACCAAAAGGTCTTTTCGATGAGAACCCCAACCCATTTCAAGCTCCCCACGCAGGCGTATTTGCCAAAGCTCTATGCCCGAAGGAACTCGAGCGTGGTAGGAATATTAATGTGTACCAAGAAGGGTCTCACGTTCAGGTCTTTACTGGTCTGAGAGAAGCACAGATCATTGTTTATCATCGCATTCCGACTTCGAAAACAAAGACGTTCTTTGGGCAGAATGATGCTGAAGAGGCGGCGAAGCCTTGGATGGATGTTCCGGTTGGAGATGGAATTACGTTTGGTGATTTGTGGAGGAATAAGATCGCTGGGGGTAGTGCGAACTTTGATGAGGGTGTTTTGCCGTGGTGGCATTGGGGACGCATGGTTCTTGTCGGTGATGCTGCCCACAAGGTAAGTCGCGTAGCATTTTGACTGACTTCAAGCTAATATTGGACAGATGAACCCCATCAGAGGTGCAGGAGCATGCTGCGGCATCGAAGACGCCATCGCCTTAGTCAACGGCCTCAGTCGGCTCCTTCACTCAGACGCCAACCCATCAGACCGCAAGCTCCGTCAGGCTTTCCTTGCATATCAGTACGAGCGAGAAGCTGCTGCAAAGCTATGGAATGACATTTCAGCACTGAACCTGGAGCTCTGCATCGGTGCTAATCAGCCTGCACTAAAAGCTCAAGGCGTTGCGGATTACAGAACTATTCCTCTCGTTGCCGACGCACCTATCTTGCAGAACATTCCGTTTGACGAGAAGACAGGTTTCGTGCCATGGACTAGGAAGACTCGCAAGTCTAATGATAAGACTAAAGCGCGTCTGTAGGCTGGAGATGGAGGCCTATAATTGATGGCCATGGGGGACCGTATAGTATATCAAGGAGCAGCTCGCTCGAACAGATTAGGCAAGACATATTTTAATAATGCAATTATATAAAATCCCGGTGGCTTAGACCGGATGAACACGTACTACGTGTTTAAAACACCAGTAACATTTCACTTACCTAGTACCTATAATTAGATGATGGTCTACGTTGAAACAGCGCATGGCCTCTCGTGGCTTGAAAGGACTTACTCGATAGGCTTATGTTCAATTTCATGGGTAGCACAAGCCAATAGTCTGTCTTGACAATGACGCTCAGTGGTGACGTCTATGAATTTGGACCAACCCGAGGTCAGAAATCAGTAAGCCACAATAAGCTGAAAAGCAGGCTGGCGGTAATCAACAAAACATGACGAGTGAAGAGGAAAGATGCTGTTATTTAAAAGGGCATTTGTCCTGCAATCAGTCTCGAGGTGATCTTTTGTTTGACATCTTGCTGGAACGCTCGCCATGGCTTTTTTCACTGCGCAAGGCCTCATCATTAGCGCCGTTTTCTTAGGTGTCGCCCAGGCTGAAACTAACAGCACTTCTGGTAACACCACCATGGTCGGATGGGTATCCCCTGCACCTCGCCGAAGCACCTGGAGCATAATCTGCAGCTGCCTATCAATCTTCATCGTCTGTTCATGGAAATGCGTGCACCTCAATATCCCCACGCACGAAGAGATCCAGGGCGAATGGCATACGATGCAAATCTGCAAAGGCATTCCCGATATTTCTTTCTGGCCCAAGGCACCCCTCCGACGCAAATGGAGACGCAAGATTGTCTGGATGACATTCATTGCCCTCGCGCCAGAGTTTGGAGTGGCACTGGCCGCAAAGCAGTACATGGATGCCCGCCTGGATTTAAAAGAGTTTACGAAAGCTCTGTCTAAAGAAGTGTTGGTGTAGCTACCGCTGGTAAAAAATATTACGGTCTAACACAAGTTAGCGCAAAGAAATATACCATGACTCACGCTTTTTATGTTCAGATGGGAGGTGTTGTTATTTACGGACCACCATCCCAATCGCCACAGGACTCTACTACAAATGTCCAGTCAGGCAATCCGGTAACCGATGGAGCTCATACAGGCTATCAAGTCACTGAAGAGGGCCGGGAATCCGGTTCCACTGGGGATGGATCTCTTACAGCTGGCATGGCTAAATCCCTATGTAGGTCATCGTGAACCCTCTTATCTCTCCTACATGTTTGCGTACTTCTGTTGGCACAAACTAACCTGACCCAACCATCTGACTCCCTTACAGCAGATATTGAGCCTGATATTTTCAGAATTCCCGTATCTGAGATAAAGGATCTAAGCAAAGCAGATGTCATCACCAAGGCGTTTGCTATCATCCAGTGCACATGGCTTGTTGTGCAAAGCATTTGTCGAGCGGCACAAGGATATACCATATCTCTTCTGGAGCTGGCGACCTTGGCATTTATCTTTTGTGCTTTTGTTATGCATATCTTCTGGTGGAATAAGCCTTTCGACGTTGAATCGAGACGAGTCATAATAGCGATACCGCCTGACCTGGAAGACGCAACAGGTCTAAACACTTTATCCATGGATGACATGGCAGTCTCAAATAAGAAACTGTTTCGAGAGAGAATCGAGGATTTATCGGCGGATATCTTTGGTGGTCTCCTTTTCGATTCACTCGCGATAGTCGATCGTGATCAGGAGGATCGAACTTTTCCGCATTTCTTGCCGTCCATTTCGTTGTACATCGTTTCAACTACATTCCTCGCTATTCATTTAACCGCCTGGAATTGGGAATTTCCCTCAACAGTAGTCAGATCCCTCTGGAGGTGGCTCAACCTCGGGACGCTCGTGATTTCACTCACCCCCTTGGTCAGTCCGGTTGTCATCTTTCCCCTGTCTATCTTGGTTGAATCCTGCTCGAAAGTTGACACTGACTTGGCCAATAACGCTTACAAAAATGCGGTAATGGTGCTCCTTATAATCAGCATGATAATTTACTGTGTGTCAAGGTTTGTGGTTCTGGGGCTGACCTTTTATTGTCTGTCATTGATGCCGGAAAGTGCATATGCCACTTTGGACTGGCTAGCCTGGGTCCCGCATTTCTCATAAGAGGTTGTTGGGTGGATTGCGAGGCTGGACATAGGCAATGATTGCGTGTTGGTAGCCGGCAGTTGTAGATAGACATGGAAATGGATATGACGGCTTTGTGCAACGAGAAGGCCAAATGAACAGAAAGCGACATGTCATGATCTCCACCAAGTCCTGCCAAGCGGAGACATTTAACATGACGATTTTCCGTCTGACGTTATCACCGCGGCTGATCAACAAACCTTCACCATAAAACACGCCAAGATCGTCAACGGACTCAAATTGCGATACTACCAAAACCCCCATTTTAAGTGCGTATCACATCCAATATGATACCATCTGCAGTGGCACGTGGGGACGTTGGAGCAAGGGTCTTGCCTGACGGTGACTCCGTAGCCGGTTTCATATTTCCACCAACGAGTCATGTTCAATCCGGCGATTACAAACATTCGCTATCACCATAAGCATAACGACCTTCCAGAAAAAGAATGCCAATGAACTTTATTCGTCTCTAAATGTGATTTATGCTCGGACCGACAATTGAGTTACATGGGTGGAACTCCATCCCGCAATCGATCATAGCCATATCTGGAGATGTTACAGGGGTCCTCACAAATACGAAGCACCTATTTCGAAACTATGCAGGGGACCATAGTTTCAAGAGAGGGTTCAACGTCATGCATATTCCCTTTTAGAATCCGATAAGACCAGTTCCCCAGTTGTTAAAGTTCAGCTGCCTCAACCTGAAGCCCTGCCAAGGCGGTTACTTCCTATGAGATGACAAGACGAACCTGTAGCTTCTATTGGAGCGAGTTTTGTGTTCCGGTTACGTTTTGGCAATTCATTAGAGTTCAACTGCCGACTATAGTATCTCTAGTATGATATCGGCCCGCAACGATTTGTTGGCCTGTGGTTATATAGTCTTGCGATGTAGGCTGATTGAGTTTCGTCTGAACCATCGACCATCTTGTAACATTCATTTTTCGCTGCTGGCCACGCACAGTCTTTTTCTTTATTATTTGAGAAGTCATTCTTTCATCATGTCTATCTTTGCAACAGCGTTGCTGTCTCTTTCTTTTTCCACGGTCGTTTCTGCAATTCCGTTGGTTGAGCGCCAGGATAATGGCACGGCTGCCGAGCCGGCTCCGGCTGACCCTGGAGTTGACTGTTCTCCATCGTCGTCCACTGGTCTGAAGCCTGAATGCTGGAAGGCCTGTGAGTTGAAGCCACTAGTGTGAGGTATTACTAGAGGCTAATGAGAGTAGTGGACATGGAGAAGTACATCAATGACTGGGTCACTGAGAATGGCACCAAGGCCAACTGCGACGAACTTGGTTTCGCGCAGTGCTACCTTCAGTTCAACGTAAGCCCATGGAAGACTATGGTAAATACAAAAGGCTGACAAAATAGGGCTTCACTGGTCTTACCTGCAACTTGATCACCAGCGATACCTGCCCTCCCTTCAACACCAAGGATGTTTCCAAGTACGACTCCAACCAACAATTCTATGTATGTCCTCCATCTCCTTCGACTGTCGCAAACTAACAGACCCAGGCCCTCTGGAACATCTACACCGTCTACCAATTCTTCAACCAATACTCCCGCGCTCTCAGCAACGGCGCCTCCCTCGCCGGCCAAACCATTGACGCCATCGTCGCAAAGGTTGCTCCTCCCGTCGAAGCCAACACCCCCACCAGCGGCCTCATGAACATCCTCGGATCCACCCTTGGCATCGTCTCCATCTTCACTGGTCTCGTCCCCGGCGATGCTGGTGTCGCTGTTGGTTTCATCCGTGGTGGTCTCAGTGCTGCATTTGATCTCTCCGGCAAGCTCGGCGAGACTCTGACAAAGACTCAAACTGCAAACGACCGATTCCTTCAACTCGGCGACATCGGCTCTGGTCTTGCTAAGCTTGTTGAGGCTTACCAGAATAACCTTCTTGAAACTGTCAAGCTTGTACAGGGCGATCCTGCTATCTTCATCGCTGCTTGCCAGGATGGTGGATTCTCTCAGCGTGTTACTACCTCTCTTACGATTCAGGCGAATACCCTTTACCGCCAACTTCAGCTCTTCATTCTTTCTAGCGCCCTCAAGGCCAATGGTATCGTCTCAGCCAAGAGCACTGGCCTCAACGCTCAGACTCGTGCTAGTGAAACCGGTGGCGCTATCTCCTGTGATGCTCTTGACCCAGCCGGTAACTGCAACCAGTGGTGGATCGACGGTGCCGACACTTATGCTCTCCACAACCCTAATGACTGGCGAAACAACCAAATTGAGCTCACCAAGGCTATCGTCGATGAGGGCTGGGCTACTCTTGCCGATGTCTTCAAGGTTGAGGACTGTGCTGGCAAGGAGCCTACCTTCAACGGCAAGGAGCTTGGCGTTACCTGTCTTGTAAGTAGACATACAACGTGTGAAGGACCAGTTTATTAATGATATTGACAGGCTACTCACAACTGGTGCGAGTGGAACTACCAGGACTCTCCTTCGCTGTCTCGATCTGAGCCTCAGTGGAAGAACTGCGACAACGACGACAAGTGGGGAACGCTCTGTGGAAGCTTCCAGAGCGGACTTGAGAGTAAGTCAATCCAGTTCTTGATTATTTGAGAGTAAACGAGACTAATGAAGCTTGAACAGTTCCCGAATCATACCTCGGTCCTCTCCTCAACAGCGACCAGACGTGGTGCAAGCGATAAAATGCACATCGCACAACTCGGCAATCACTAGGATAGCCGTGTCATGTGCCTAGGTCTGCTTTTAGGGAGGCCTTCTCACATGGCGTAGTTAGGCGACCGTCATCCGCTGATGGATATTCCGTGGTGTAGGATAGAAGGGGGTCAGATGTAGATGGCGTTCAGTTGGAGCTAGTAGCTGTAAATTTCCACTTGCCAAGTTGGTCAAACGGAAACCGGAAGCTTAATCATATCGCCCTGTGGCCTGTCATAATTTTCTGAGCCTGCGTAGCCCACTTCACAAGGTGCCGATAGGGATATGCAACAAGCGTGGGTATTGACCTTAGACCAGCTTGACTGATTGAAGGTTGAAGGCTTTAACCACCTTAAAGGTAGTTATTTCTTGATACTTACAGCTCATAACGTCTTAACGAGACATATCAAGAAAGGTAGGTATATGAGAGATCCCAGCTTCTGCAAGTTCACTTGGAGTAAGTCTCAGCACGAAAGATACCACTGGTGAAAATGACATATATATGTTCAGTTGTCTAAGTAATAATATACAGAGCATGGGAATAGGCGACAAAGTGTCGGCCCTAAGTTCCAACCAGCCAATTAAGAAAGTGAAACACACTTGCTACCAGAGCAATATTGAGCCGAGAAAGGCATTTAGCACTTGCCAGCCTTGGTAGGCTCACACTCGCCGTTGGACTTGTCGCAACCGTTGTAGCCCTGGCACTGGGTCTTGGGGTAACAGTTGTTGGAGTAGGTGGCCTGTCAGGTTTCATCAGTATGATGACTCTTGGGTATATGTCGGAATGACGTACCTTGTCACCGAGGTTGGTGTTGATGCCGATGAGCTCACCGCCGTTGACAGCAGTGACACCCTCCATGTGGACGGATCGCTTGCACTTGGAGTTACCCTTGCAGTTACCGCAAGAGCGGTAGACCTTGCCGTAGTCGTTGGCATCTGCAAATGTTAGCATGAGGCTGGGGACCCGTAAGATAAAAGGCTTGACATACAGAAGTTGACAATGTTGACATGACCGCATCCATTGTGCTGAATAATCTTATCGGCAGCCTTATAAGCACCACCACCAATAATGTTGGCAGTTCCACTACCCTTAATGGAGATAGCATCCTCACAAACATCCTCAAACCAGACAAACTCAAGGTTACAAGCACCAAGACAGTGCACACCCTCCTTCTGGTTGGCACCAATGACAACGTTGCGAAGAGTAGCACCGTCTTCGAGGACGAACACGGCGTCCTTCTCGCCGCCCTCGCTCTGGCCGGAGCACTTGACGCCGCGGTCGTAGCGAACCCACTTGGCGTCGAAGACTTGGCCCTTCTTGAGGTATTGGGGAGCGCTGAGGGACTTGGTGCCTGTAGCTTTGGGGACGCCGCCGGTGTAGCCGAGGCAGGCCATTGCGGCGGGGAGGGTTGTGAGGATGGTGAGAAGGCTGGAGGCGTGCATTTTGGCGGTTGGGAGTGGTGAGTTTAGTTGAAGAGAAGCCGGTCAACGGTTGATGAATGGTAAAGATGGAAGCGAATGGCAATACAAAGAGATAAAACTGAGCTGGTTGGATGAAGACGATCGAAGAGGAACTAACTATCCTTCTTATACATGATCTCTCTACTAGTCTTCGCGATCAATCCGACCGAGTACGATCCATCCATGCCATCCCAACACCACGGTTCCAGCAAGTCACCCACCAATTCTAATTCGCCTATCCCCCTTCCACCATCTCCATCAATCAGAACAAACAGCATCGTCCGCTTTACACAGAATAAAATAAGGTGTTCAGCTCCTTGTTTCAGGACAATCCATTTCCTCCACTTAGGTGACGGACAGCCCAGCTCTGATAGGCTATTCATCCCGGTCGCATGTTTAGGGATGCGCGTATCTGACTTAAGCTTATTTCGCGTTCGGATGACTTAACCGCTTTCAAGAGTTCATGCCCGGAGATGGAGGCTATGCTGGTGAGATAACTGCTAAAATCCGTGGTTTTGTGGAGTGCATGCCTTAAGTTGTTTCGAATCATCTGTTAAGCTTGATGGAGCGGAACCACATTGGGGAATGACGGCGGCCTTGATTGGTGGTGAAATATGTTCTGCTGGCACCGGTAATAGCGCGACTTCCGATACGAAGCGGAAGACTGGCTCCGGTTATGTTTTTAGGGAGTCAAAGGAAGATCATGCTCGGTGAGCTCTTCGCCGAACCATGAATGCGAGATGGGAGTATGAAGTTATGGAAGAGTTGAAGTGCATCCTACCAAAGCCCAGGACCGAGACGTAGTGCGGCCCATAGATTTCTGTGTTCACAACTCTCGATAAAATTGAGACAGTTTTGATCGAGGAGCCGGACTCAGGAGCGGACCGTACCGAGGAATTCACTTTCATCATGTCATCGCTACGCGTTGAATCGGGAAATAACTCCCACTAAAGCCACCCAAGAATGTCTCGATCGCGCTACCAAGCCGCTCCTCTACGACGTCAAGGCTACGCCTGAAGGTGAACTTGTAAAGATCTAAGGTAGAAATGCACCGCTTACCCGGTTTGCCGCATTCCTGATAATGAGGCTTACAGCGCTTCATCTCATTCGTAGATGGAGATCATCTGGGCAGGTCTGGACGGCTCCTTCGGCGAATCAGCGCCATCTTTACGCCCCAGCATTCCAGTGCCTGACTCTTGCACCGGACCTTTGATCAGTGTGACCTCGAGCGTCAGCTGTCAAGAGAACAAAATGGTATGAGATCCCGTAGCCAGAGTGTGCGACAATGCTCCTGTCAATTCTATCTTCTGCTTTAGATAATCTGACTTTTGCAAGTCGATATCTGGTATTATGGCACTCTTACGTATGAACCCGACGCCTATTCACCAAGTTCATCCGTACATCCGCATCATACTACTCGTCACTCTTCTCAACTGCGGCTTGACAATACTCTTTTTCTCTCACATCATCTTCTTCCCAAACCTTACTAGACCTCATATTCCCCTCGATTCAATCACATCATCAGTCAAGTATGTTTTGCGACCGTTGGCGAGCAGGCCAGACATCACGAAGTCATGCGTGGAAGGACATCAGGAAACCCTTGCCTCAGGATACACGATCGAGGTCAAATGCAATATGTATCGACAGGGAGTCACATACGATGAAGTGTCCTCGTACAGCGAATGCGCGGCGATCTGCGAGTCACTAGACATTGATGTATGCTCATACCATCCACCGTCAAAACGCTGTGTCGTATCAAGCCTGTATGGAAGAGATATTCCCCGAGAGGGTGTCTATTACATGACAAAAGTCATCGAGAACGATCCCGAAGACATCGATTCTTACGACCATGGGGACCCCTTCGAAGAGGTGCCAGATCCAGAAATGGACGCCTGCCTTGACCGCATCGCCGACCTCGAAACAGAATTGGAGCATTGTCGCTCTGAAACCGTCCCATCAACGCCTTTATGCGGCGTCCAAGGCATTGCTATCAACGGTCGCATAGACATGATCCAAGTCACCGGCGTCGACGCCTGCAAAGCGATTTGTCTCGCCAACCCATCATGTCAAGCTTACTCCGCGTCCGACAACCCGGGAGATTGGTGTTATATCTTTGACAGACCGCACGGAGGCCTCACGACAAATTATTACCGCCATTTACATACATATGATCGCGACTGTTAGTGATATTTATATTTGGACTGATCGATAGAGACTGTTTCAATTGTCGGTGTCGGAATGCGTTATCCGAAACCACAGCCGACATCCGCGGAAACGGAAATATGGCATCGTGGTGGAGCACGGCTCTTAAAGCTTGGGCGATCACTAGCGAAAACCCCGCAGTATAAGAGATCAATTGACCAATTCCTTCTGGAAACATTCTATCCGCAAGAAATACACCGTAAAAAGATCATGTCAGCCTCGGATTCAGTTGTCTATCACTACCTCGCGATCGGCAAGCTTGGCCGCGGCGAAGTCGTCAAGTAAGTGTGCTCACGACGTGAACTCTGTCGCTCCGTCGTCCTGGATTGTGCACTGACTGCTGAGATCAGGCTGTTTATGATTGACGCGGGCATCAAGTTCGAAGAGCGCTTGTACGCCCGTGATGATACTTGGCCTGAGACCAAGGAGAAGCTGAAGAAGCAGGGCCTTACTCGCACCGGACAACTCCCTTCGGTAGAGTACAAGGGTAAAGTCCTCACTGGTGTTAGTCACCATCTATCATTCTGACTATCATGACAGAAGCTGACTTGAGCTGCATAGCACGTTCCCATCCTGCGATATCTCTCGCGTGAACTCGGCGCATACGATGGCACAACCAATGACGACAAGTACTTGGTTGATCTAGTGTCGGATATCTATGTTGACTGGAGGGTAAGTCTACGTCCAATGGCGGAGTATTTCATGCGAAGCTAACTGGGAAATTAGGTCCAATGGGTAGCCAATCTCAAGGGTCTCAACCCTGATTACAAGGAAAAGGACGCTCCTCCATACTACGAGCTACTCGGTCAATACTACGCCGAGCGTGAGGGGCCATATCTTCTTGGAGACACTGTTACTTACGCCGACTTTGCCGTCTATGTTTCTCTTGACAACGATATTCGAACAAAAACACTTCCGGTATGTATTATGATTGTTAAGCGAGTGATGTTAATCTGACATGGGATACATAGGAAACCCTCCCCGAGTCCATCGTCAAGTTCCGAACTGCTTTCGAGGCTCGACCTAACATTGCCGACTATATCAAGCAGGGCTAAGGCATAGATGATCCACAGATAATCTTTAGACAATCTTTAGACAATCTTTAGACAGAAGACATACGGATGCATCTTCTGCTCCAATTGAACTCGTGAAGTCCCTATAGTCCCTGAGAGCCCAAGTAGGCCAGCATGACTTCATAACCGGCCGTAGCATTGGTAGAAAGAGTAAGACCATGGCCTGTGTCGGGTTGTAGGTGAACCCCGATGTGAGACGCTCCAGGATTAAGGCCCTTGAGCGTCTCCATATCGTAGGTGTTGCTGCAATCGCCATCGCATAAAGGGTAGTCGTTCTCGCCGATGAAGTACTAGTATATCTATCAGCCTAATATCTATACCTCAGTAGATGAAGATTACTTACCTGGAGGGGACCCTTGAACTGAGTTGAAGGCTGTGATAGAAGATTAGAGGATAACTCCCCAACTGTACCAGTCTGCTTAATCTTCTCCGCATACTCAAGCGCCTCAACTTCAAAAGACCCCTTCTTGAGGAAGATCTGCTGGATACTGCTCAGGCTGGCCTGCACGGCATATCCCGCAGGACGATCGCCAAAGCGCTTGGGGTCATACTGTCGTGCAAACTCAAAGCCGAATGCATTAGCACCGACCTTACCGCTCTGGTTATTGGGAAGAAAGCCAGTCAGGATAGCGCCGTCGCTGAGACTACCGTGGAGAGAGAGAAGACCGCTTGTTGTGGCAGAACCGAAAGAGTGTCCTACGTGAACGACTTTCTTGGGCTTGTAATCGTAGAAAGACTTCTGCGGGCGTTTACTGGTAACCTTGGAGGACGCAAGCAGCTTTCCGTCTCTAGCGAGAATAGTGAGCTCTTTCAGGATTGCGACTTGTAATCCAAGCTGGACCTCGTTATATCCATCGGCTTTGGTGGACTTGCCAGTTCCGAGACGATCATAAGTAAGGATGGAGTACCCCTTTGCGAGAGCAGCATCGACATAAGAATACTTCTCAGGCTTGAGTTCAGGGTCCCAGTATCTGTCATCGCGGTTAGCTGCAGGGGCTAGCAGAATATCTTTGGGCGCTACTCACTCCTTGTCAAAACCTAGACCATGGGTGGCGATCTGCAAGACATCCGATTTCTTGCCATCGGCAGGAATGCAGAGTTGAGCGCTGATGGAATAAGTGCCGTGAACGGGAAGGGCTTCAACGCTCCTGTTGGCGTGCGACCAGGTCGAAGTGTCCCATACAAAGTCGACAAGATCGATGTTGCTTTCGACTTTGACAGAGTTGTAGCGGGTGTTGTTAGCTGAAGCCGTAACGGGAATCTGGAGTTGGACACAGCTTTTGGGCTGGCTTGTAGGCGATGCGAGTGCAGACGAAAGGGCGGATAGCCCGACTAGGAGTCTGGCAGCGCTATGCATAGTTGTAGATGTGTGATTTCCAGGTGAGAAGCCTGAACTGTGATACTAAGTGATGAGGTTCTGGATGACTGCGGATGACTTCTTATTTTATAGGCGTTCAAGGCCATTGTGAGCCCCAAGCAAAAGTCAATGGAATTTGGAATAATTGTTGAGACGTATCCTGAACCTGGCGTATTACAGCGTATAGTGGGCGTAAGTCAGACGTATCTTCACCCTGAGGGTTACATATGTAGCTCCGCCCCACTGGACTGCATGACAAGACCGGAAGATTCGGGGAACACGACGGGGTCTAAAGAGCTTGAAGGAAGGAGAGATATAGCGGCAAAAAGTAAAACATAGTGAACTATTTGGGATAGATCGAATGACAGGACGTCCTCTGCACTTATGTTCTTGCCTCAAGGTTTCTTCTCCACTCTCTTCATCTCAACATCAAACGCCTTGGACTTGATACTAACAGCTTTCCCATCCTTTCCATACTCAAACTCAAAGTGATCCATAGAAAGGCCATTGTAAATGAAACGATCGAGCATATGCCAAGTAATGCACGTCACATCCTTGACCTTGGTCAGACCTTCGATCATCTCCGCTTCTTTGTCACGGAGTGTTGGGAACACAGCTCTCCATGCGGCGCGAGACTTGTTCTCAATACCAGTAGGGTATAGTCGAACACTCTTGATGCCTGAGTCAGTGGTATCGTTATATCGCCCAGGCTGGAAGCGGTTCAAGTTGGGTAGGACGTCGAAGCCTCGGGCAGTCCACTTACTCAAGACCAGACCAGGTCCCTCATCCAATGAGATGGTAAGCGAAGACCCCGTCTGCTTGTCGACATAACTTCCAGCGAAGCGAGCTTTGGATTCATCCCGAGATGCCATGTCCATAGCTGGAATCAGCGCCTCGACGATATTGAGGGTCGCGAGCTGTGCCCAAACACTCGAGACTTCTGGTCCCGCGCCAAGGACAGACACGACGAGGCCAGTGTCAGGAATCATGGCCATACCAGATTGATAGCCGCTCAGGGTACCACCCTTCGTGTATAGATCAATGATGCGACCGTCGGAAGTCAAGTTGTCGATGCGGTAGATCTCCCAAGGCGACCCAACTGAAGCGCTCCAAGTTGATGTGAAAGTGTTTGGCTTGAGCCAGCGGCGGGTATTGGGCGGGGAGAGCGCTTTGTTCTTGAGGATACTGGTCATGAAAGATAGCATATCGGCGGTGCTAGAGCCCATGGCGCCGGCACTTGATTGCGTTAGTAAAGATGTGACTTTGGAGAGGATATACTTGCGGAGCAAAGATGCCGATATCAGCGTTCCAATCATCACTTCCAGCAGGAATGAACATATTCTCCGAGTTCTCTGGGACAATACCAGAGTATGTCCGCTCCAGGTCTAGAGGCTTCAAGACCAAATCCTTGATAGCGGCGTCAAAGGTCTTGTTAGATGCTGCCTCAACGACAAGACCGACGAGACTGATTCCTGCGTTGGAGTAGACTGGCGATTGGCTAGGTTGGTAGACGGGAGGGCGGTAGAATTTGAAGATGGTGAGTAAGTCTATAATTGTTAGCCAGGAATGACAAGATAGAATGGGTAGCTTACCTTCTCTGGTGCAGACTGGAGCTCCAGGGAGACCTTTGCAAGATGGAATCTTCTTATTTTCCGACAGCTTCGGGAGGCCAAGAGCTTCCCAGTTGAATGGGAAAGCAGAGATATCAGTGGTCACTATGATCATTAGCATCGACCGCTATATATCGATTGGAATATACTCACTATCGCCACCCAGGCCCGACAGATGCGCTGCAGCGTCGCCAACTGTGATGTCACCCCAGTGAATAACATCAAGGTCATCACCAGAATGAGGCTTATGAGGATGAGCAAGCTCTGGAATCCAACGAGTAACAGGATCATTCATGCTCAACACCCCATCCTCAGCCAGGCGCAGAGCCGCCAGAACTGTGAACACCTTTGAAATGCTTCCGAGACGATAGACAGTACTTGCGTTGATCTTCTTCACACCTTCCTTCGGATTCATGATGGAAGGCGTGTAGTGAAAGTCGAGTAAAGGCTCATCCTCGTAAACGGATTTGACTCCAACGGAGACACCAGAGAGATTGAAGCCTGCGGTCTGTCCCTTCAGAACAGTGGTAATGGTACCAACGGCATATTGCACGGCAGGATGCTGACTGGCTTGTCGTGGCGCAGGCAAAACAGGGCCGTAAGGTGGACAATATCGTGGCGTAGCGTTAACGACGTGCTGAAGACCAGCGAAAAGAGTGAAGAGGCTAGGTAAAGAATGAGAGAACAACATTGGAAAGTATTGCTCTAGTAGAAGAAGTATCTGCCACTGTGAGCCGAGCATAATTTCGAGGGATATCGCAGGCTCTATTTATTCATATCCGTGGTTTTGTGTAGATGCGTTTGTCTGTTGGAATTCCGTTCGGTTGGGTTCACTGAGCACAGCCCCTGAAAAGACCGAGCTGGCCCACTTGCGAAGGATCTAGCGTCCCTTTCTCTACAGGGATGTAACAACCAATGACACAGCCCACAAGACCAAGATTGCATTACGGCTTCATGCTGGCTCGTCTTTCTCGAACAGGGCTATTCTGGTAGAGGTACATTCTTATGCCATGTATCCCAATATCTCTCATCCGCCCAAAAGTTCTTTCGTGGACCTCTAGTCTCATCGCTTAGCATACCTTCTAAATCTCGACACTTGCATAGCTGCACTTTTGCGAAGCGAGCTGGACTTCCTGCGCCTTTGTCGAGAGTGATGCTTTCGTATCGTCTGTCAAGGTAATCTTGTACTAGACATAGATGAACCCTCTGATGCCCAGGAACATCTATAGATTGCATGCTTCCTTGCATTTCGTTGAGGGTGGATGACAAGTTGTTCAATGTGTTCTCTTCAGCTGCGATCACGACCTCAAGTATCTGGGCTTCGATGGCTCCGCACCATGGACCTTCTCTTCCACTCTTCCGAAGCAGATCCAATCCTTTTTTTCGCCAGAAGGAGTTCCTGTACTTGAGCGTCGCGAAAAAGAGAGGCTGGATGATACCCATCTCTGGTGTAAATAGCGGCAAGGGATTTGAAGACTTGTCGCTCGATCTGATGTCGAGAACTGCTTTGGCCGATGCGATGATCTCTTGGAACTCGAGAGCGTAGTTGTCATATGCTGTTTCGAAAGGTTGGAGAGCGTTGGAGACGTATATGAGTGCGGTGTAGCACTGCATCCGAAGGACAAGTATTTGTTCGTTCCGCGGGTCCAAGACGCTGTATTGGGGGTTTAGTTGGTTGGATGATAACCACTGTTGCAGGTTCCCACGACATCTCCCCTGCTCAATCAACAGATCGGACGGAATTTGAGCAGGGTGAGCGTATTTGCAAGGGAATGCTGATGAGATAAAACGGTAGCTGGCGTGTAGTATGGAGTACAATGCTCGATCTGGAGACATTAAAGCCATGCTTAGTCTGTTGGATTCACCAGTCAACGGTATGTCTAGACTCGTAGCATAGGTCACCGAATGGAGATTGAGCTTCTCGAATAAAATCGCTAGTCCATCATCATCAATCGAAGGCTTCGCGCCATTGTTCCCTCGGGCGCCCATCACTGCCAAAGCGCCTTGAAGATGCATGTATCCCCTGTCACTTCGCTGCTGCAGAGTTTCAGTGAAGGCCATGAGTAGGCATGCGAGCATACAGGGCAAAGCACCATTCCGAAGATCTAAAACCTCATTTTGCACTAGCCTCAGCGCTTGATGGTAATGTCGTGTTGTTGCCATTTCTTCCCGAGATCTGAGCATATGCTCATTGTACGAAGCGCCGAATGCAGCCGCAGCAGCTTGCACAGCTGGTATTGTGTGGATCATCTGGGGGACAGCATAGCTCCAGAATGAAATCTCAGAGTCACTTTTTGCGCGACGTGGCCCTTGACTGAGAACTGTGCAGGTAAGATAGGAATAGCGATCTAGAGAAGAGGTCGGGCTGCGCGAGGGACTGCGGATAGATAGAAGTGCCGCTTCTGCTGCCCTTAGCGAGGGACCTGCTGGCGCGCCAATGGGGTATCCAAGGCATGAAACCTTGGAGAAGAGGCAGCGTCGACAGGATGGTTTAGTCTCATCGCATTTGACTCTTCGTTTCCTTGGCATGTCAGCTTTCGCCCTACCTCCGTCTTGAGAAAGGGTTCGTACTTGCAAGTAAGACAGCCAAACTTTGACTGTTTCACATTGGTTCGCGTTCGCTTGGTAAAAGGACTTATTCTTGTGTTCTCCATGGTGGCATGGTCTTGTCGAGGACTAAATGCTAGTACGCTGACAGGACGGGTATGAGGGGCTGGAAGGACGCAATTACGATGTTCCGACGGCAGGGGACATCGTATGATACCCTGTCACCTCTATCCGCTGCTGCACGAAGGACTTGGAATTTCTTTACCGTTTTCTATCCATCTAATAACTTCCTTACTCCCGGTATTGAGTGCTAGCATGTCGGAATGAGGAAGTATGTTGATTTCTATATGCCCTAAACGCGTAAATAAAATCTCAATAGCCTCGAAGGTCGGCTTAGGAGTCACACATTCACAATCTACCTTTAGGTTGCTGGTGGAGCAGAGGAATAAGTATTAGGACATAGAACTTCATCTTGGGATCACGTAGCAGTCGCCAAAGCCTGTTTCTTTGACGTGGCTGCTGGAGTTCTCAGGGGATACAGGCTTTTGAACTCTCACGGGCTTTCGCATTCACGTGAACGTGAGATATTAAATGGAGTTCAATATCTAAACCCTAAGGTACCTACTTACACCACGACACCTAGAAGAAGAAGAAAAAGGTATATATATATATGCATATGATATGTTGGAGGTGTCGGTGTTTTACTGGACGTAATCCACCTCAATGTAGTCCAGCCTGTAGGATGTAGCAGCACGGACACACTTGCTGGTGAAGTCAAAACCAGGTTTCACCAGGGTCCAGTGTCCATCACAAGTCCAAAAGTCTGCAATCCCCAGATCGCCGTATTGACACTGAAGCTGCGGGTGTCCATTTGGAGAGACAATATCGCAATCCAAGGGCGAAACCCCGTTGTCCTCGGCCAGCGCAGTCTCAGCAGTAATCACCAAGCTGTAGTCGGACGAAGGAAAATATCCCACAAGCTTTCCAACGTTGGCGCCGTTACCGATCTTCACTTTGCCGCTGCGTTCGCCCAGGGTGAAGATGAGGTCCCCGGCGGCGCCCGCGATCGTGAAGTCGATGAATTCTACGTCGGGAATTGAGGTGTCACTAAGAGAAGCGAAGCCTGTGCCGGCCGTGTCTGCGAGGGCAGGGTTGGTAGTACTGTGGCCGAGCATATAGATGGATTGGACGGCTTCAGGGCCTTCGGTGGTCGTGGTAGCTGCGGCAGTGGTGGTTGTAGCTTCGGTGGTGGTCTCAGCGGTGGTGATAGCTACCGTGGTAGTGGTTGTGTCGACGAGAGCTGTGGTGGTGGTTCCGACTGAAGAGACGGAGGGGGTTGTTTCTACAGTGATGGTAGTTCCAGTCTCGCTCTCGGACTTGCTCTCGGTCGCGGTGGTAGTAGTCTCGGTCGCATCGACAGAAGCAGTGGATGTCGCGCTCTCGCTCTCGAAGGAACTGGTCGCAGTCTCACTAACAGATGCGATGTAGGTCGATGAGGAAATAATCGACGACGGACGACATGGGCCAGCGTTAGCTAAAGTAGCCACCAGCAGGACAACAGTCCCAGAAAGAAGGTTGTGCGAAATCATGATAACGAATGACGAGGTTAAGTCTGGAATGAGCGACAGAGGGTGAGTAAATAGAGATCAAGGGGAAGAATAACATTTCTCTTTCCGATCCTTTATACGAAAAATGCCCCTTTTGTTTATTTGGCTTAGGGCTGGTCTTGTTAGTGTGTAGATCTAGTTGAGGCTATCGATTGTGGCGGCGATCTAGGCCAGTGAATTGCAGTGGTTGACTGATGGTGGTAATTACCCTGAATGCACTAAAGGCGCTATTGATTAACTCTAAGTAGCCTAAAACCATAATGGCCATTAGTCGAAGATCGACTCTCATAAATGAGCCAGTAACAAGCTTCAATTGCCTACATATTCTTGTGACAATTATAGCTCCTCCAACGAAGATGGCCACGGAAATACGACCTTTTGCGGCGTGCAGCCATGGTAGAAACACAATCCGTGAATCCAGCGCTTTGTGTACAACTGAGGGAGTAGTATGTCACTATTCCCAGCATCGTAGTCGACCTCCAACGAGACATGTTTGTCTAGGTCATTGAGGTCAAAACCTCCACGGTCAGTCTGCGCACGCTGAAAAGAGGTGAAAACGTGACGATCTTGATCACGATCAAGACTCATTTCAGAGCCAGTCCCGCTGCTTTCGTCGTCAGAGTCTTCTGGCTGGACAAAGACAGCAACGCCTAAAGGACCAGGACCGAGTAAAGTTGCAGTGCAGAGCAGTTTCCCTCGCAGTATAGCTTCTTCGACTTTATCGACCATACTGAGCAGCCATTCTTCTGCAGCTGATGACGGCACTTCAAGGTCGAGGATTTCGTCCAGTCTGTCTGAAAGAACTCGGTATTCGGATGCCAGTTCACCTGCTAGCCATTCAAGTGGTCGCTTCGCCGGCTGTCGGTATCTCTTCTTTCCGTGAGGCTGCATGTATCTGTAAAAGCTAGCCGTGGAGATCTCGTCATCAAGCCGCCATATGTAGCCCTCAGTCTGTACACCCTCTTCTGTCAAAATGACATTGGCAAAACGACAACTCTTGTTAAAGGTCAGTTTGGCTTTTTTCCATGGAGACTGTAGCCCGTTAAAGAAATGCTTATGCAAGAACTCGGTGATAGTCATTGTTTTCACGTCGAGCTTGTCTCGAGGATGATTTGACAAGATCTCCCCATTCATAAGAACAAGTGTAAGGATGGATAGGCTAAGACTATTTTTGTCGGCCTGAAGCTGTGCACTGTTCAAACGATTCGCGTACTGACAGCAGTTGGCGATGATAGCTAGTCTGTCCCACTCCCTATCAAGGTTACGACTCGCAATGTCTTCGATGATGCTGGGAGACATTGACACTGGTGCGGAATCCTCCTCGTTGGCGAGTAAAATTGTGTATCGCTTGGCTCTCGAGAGGATGCTATCTAGATGCGGAGGTGGTGGTTGTTGGTTCGAGTATGCTAGGCAAAGCTTTGTTGCTTGCTCGTAAAGGCTCGCGGAACTGATCAAGAGTTCTCCGTCCAAAGAACCAAAGTGTCGAACAGGCTTTTCATGACTGAGCCCTGAGGAATTCGCAATGAGGAGAGTCATCTTCATATTGGCACGGTAGTTCTCTTGATAAGTCCAACCTCTGGTGAACCATAAATCAGAGGTGATATAACGGAGAAGTTGAAGTGCGTCGAGAGCTCTTTCACTTGAAGACAACAAGTAACTGCTCCCTCGTTTCGTTACAAATGTCCCAGAAAGGATTTCTACCAGTAATTGGAGTTGTTCCGTGGTACTGATTGTCAACGATAGCAACGCGGCTGGGTGTTTGCTAAGGCTATAGACTCGGTCCATCGCCTGCATACCTATCTCCTTCTCTTCGCCCTCCTCCTGAACAATGCAGTGCTTGTCGATCCAAAGGTACTTGCAGTTGACGTGATCCATGTATCGCTTGATTCTGCTGAAAACGACGTCTCTCACAGACGACGGTTCCACGATGCCAGACCGAAGCTCTTCAATCAAGTACCCACCATGAGGGACACCGGCTTCTTCCGGGGATGGCTTCCAAGTGTATGATAGAGCCACATACTTTCTTTGGGTAAAGGCATTGATTGTGTCTAGTCCTAAAGTTGGTTGCGTTGACGGCTTGGCGTGGTCCCGATCAGTGAAATATAGGCATTTGAGATTCTCAGAAATTTCAAGGACTTCTGCTGTGGAACGTTGGCCGCCTGGATATGAATCAGCCGCTTCACGATGCTGGGATTTCCATAGCGTTCTCCAATGTTACGAAGCGGCTCATGCAGGTCGCTACCCGACTGAGGATGTTCGCCCGCGCCCAATTGATTGATATGCGACATTGTTTGCTAGGTTTGTACGGGGCCCGAGGTCAACACGGTGTCTTAGTGGGGATCGCTCCATATAAGCCTTCATTCTTCTATCAGCCGCAATTGGTAAAGAATCGAGAGAATCAAAGGTGGAAATGTAATTTCCATCATATTTGCAGAGGCTGTGCAATTAGGCAGCAGTAGGGGGCCTCAAAATCGTATGTCAATGCGTATTGGTCAGCAATCGTGGCTTCTCCAATCTACTAATATGATAGATCAAGCCTTGTCTCAATGCATCGGGATCTGTATATCATACTGTCATGAAGGCAATAGACACTTGGCAAATGTAGGCACTCAAAAACTATGGTATAACCGTTATTTCAATTTCCATCGCTGATTGAACATCGTTTCGAGTGCTTTGAGATAACCAAGACCATCCAACAGACTTTTACAGACAAAGCTATGTTTACAGCGATCTTCAGTATATCTTATAGCCACCCGAAGGTTACATGCACAACAAAAGGCCAAGCTTTCAACATCAGAGCGAGCAATATAGTCCAAGTGATGCTTCGCGACGTCAACCATGATCTTGGTAATCGTCTCCAACGCGGCTTCAGAGCTGTTCACCCATCCATCCCTGTCAGCGTCTGCAGATAACGAGCCAGCTATCGACAAGATCTTCTCGTGTAAAATGTATAAGGACCTATTATGGAGTTAGAGGAAAGTTTGTGCCTAATGAGAATGTTCATACCTTACCACAGTTGCGATAGTTCCGCACCGCAAACCAGGCTCATGCGGTGTCTGTGCCATGAAGACAGACATCCGCTCTTGCAATTCTTTATCCAGTAGTTGCAGTTTCTAAGAGCTGTGACTCAGAGTCGCTTTGCTTAGACTGCTTCGTCCGTCTCATGCAAGCAGTGGTCAAGCATATAGATAGCTTGGGCTTGTCGGCCGAAACTACTCAAACTGGAAGAGTTCTGAATAGTGGAAGAAGACATGGTGCAATACGTTGGGATATATTCACCGTTGGACTCCGTGTCAGAAGGCAAAGGTACGTCAGAGCTGGGGCAGACTGCTATGGGGTCTGGACGTCCGTTACTACTGTGCTCCAGCAAGATAAACCTATGATGTATAAGCACAATTTCTTTCAAAGATCTAGGTTAATTGAAAGATAGTATACCTTTCCAGGACAATGTTGGACCACCACAAGTTCCACTCTGACGTAGCTTGTAGTCTAGTCTCTTCTTGAACTGCAGTGAGCTTCTTACAAGCAGTGTCGACACCAGCAACCTGTGCCATTCTAATGCATGCAGCAATAGAGATGTAAGCTGAGTCAATCTGGCCACTAGCATACTCATAAGCCGATAAGATAATGCCGGTCTGAATCAGAGCAACGCTGGCTTGCATCATAGCCTGAACTTGAGCGTACAGTGTTTTCACTGTCACATGTACTGCTGAATGGTGGAATAAAGGATCATCCAAGACTCCACCAGACCTTAGAGTGACAAGACATATCGCGAGCAGCAGAACTGAAATGTCAGCCCCTGGAAGTCCTCGCTCGCTTAACTCAATGTGCTCATACAGGTGCCGTGGGGCTATGATGGGCAACCACTTCTGAAAGTTGTCAAGAAAGCGTTTTCCGGCTTGAAGTGGAGATTGGCCGACTACTCTGTATAGGTAGTGCATATGATAAGCCATCGTGCTGTCTAGAGTGGCAGTGGAAATAGCCATGGGGAATAATGTAAGAGACCAGGGCTTGAACACTTCTGCTACATCGTCATTCATTGGCGGTGTATCGCTCTCGGTGTCGTATATGCAGTCGAAACCGCGTTTGAAGCAGTAGGAACAGGTTGGTAGCTCTTTGCCGCACGCTTTCTTCTTTGCTTTGCATATCCGGCAAACCCGGGATGCTCGTTGTGGTGAACTCATGGTCTGCGCGTGATTTAAACGCTCAGCGAGATGAGAGATTTGTGTTCGGCCGCCGCTATCACCGTCTCCGGTCTCGAGAGACAATATCTGAAAGCATTAGAAATCGAGTTGTCGAAGGAGAGTCTTCAGCTCCAACATGAGAGCTGATGATAGTGGAGACCTGCGGCCGCCGCTTTGCCCACGTCTGGTTTAGTGCGAATGGTCCAGACGATCAAGCCCGGATATAAACTAGGAAATTCTTGGCAACGAGGCTGTTTCTTCGGCTTCCAGTGCCGAATACTTGCTCATCTCTCAATTGAAGCTTTACACCGTCGGGCAGCATCGCAGGATAAACAACATCGTGAACTCCTATCAAGGTACTCATGAGTAAACAAGGGAAAGAGTCGAGATGCATCAAGAGGCTTAAATATCGCGATCATGCTGTAGATAGAATTCAGAGCAGTTCTTCATTGCATCAATCGACTCACTAAGCTTACATTTACTCTACTGAAAGTCTCAGTGACAGAACTGCTTGAATTTTATACCATGGCGAACCATAAAAATCAGTCAGACTCTGAACAGCGTGTTATGACGACCGGGCCCTTGGCGGTTCGAGAACCGAAGCCGGCCCGTCAATGGTGGCATTGGCATGAGCCAAGGACTAGCAAAGAAGAGAAGTGTGTAATCTTTAAGTTGGATGCCGCAATTCTGGCTTACACGTGCTTGGTAAGGCAAAGCCACTTATAGATTAACGAGCTATTACTAACAAACATTATAAAAGACTTTCTTCGTCAAGTCTCTGGATCAAACGAATATCACAAATGCTTATGTATCTGGAATGAAAGAGGATTCGAATCTTCGTCAGTTACACACCACCGCAATCTCGCTGATATTTAGAGGCTAATAGCTTTCTCTAGATGGAAACGAACTCAACTGCCTGACGACGTATTTCAATATCAGCATTATCATTGGGGCACCATTTACAACAATGATGCTCACCTTTATCAAGCCTCGCTGGTGGCTCCCTGCCTGCACAATGGCTTGGTCACTGCTTGTACTGGGAATGCACAGGGCTGAGACTGTTAAGAGTCTATATATCCTGCGGTAAGATCCAGTGTTATAGATATCGTAGGAGGGTCACTTATGTCTAAATCTAGGTTCTTCACTGGTCTTTACGAGTCGGGTGCTATGCCTGGATCACTGTACATTGTATGGCAATTGAACATCCAAAACGAAAATGCTTACTCAGAACCTCGACAGATCGGGAGTTGGTATCGCAAGTCGGAGATCAGTAGGCGGACTACTCTCTTCTGGTTCTCATCGGTGGGCGAACAGATGCTGTCTGGATATATCCAAGCTGGACTGTAAGCCTCACTTCACCTGACGACTACAGACTAACATATCTCAGATATAGGAACATGAATGGTCGTCTGGCTTTAGCTGCGTGGCGATGGCTGTTCATCCTCGACTTTTTTATCAGTGTCCCCGTGGTCGTTCTTGGTCTTGCCATCTGCTCTGGTAAGACAGAAATTTGTACCGTACTATTCGCTTGACCTGACACTTCATTGAACAGACGAACCAAAAGCTAAGAGAGTATGGTGAATGTCTGAACAGGAGAGGCAGCGATGTATAGAGCGGATGGTCAACGAAGGACGGGACGCTGATCATTTCCATTGGTATCGTGCATTGATCAAGCAAGTTTTGACATCTTGGCAACTTTATGTATTTTGCCTTGCTTGGGCGTTGGCATTCCTCTTTTCATCATCTTGGTGGACACTCCTAACTGAACTTAGGCTCATGGAACTCACTTG